TGCGCGCCCCTCCAAAGGGCTGCTCAAACGCGCCCCGCTTAACAATCTTTTAACAACTCATGTCTGGCGACTTCAACCCCTACGGCCTGCCGCCATCCGCGGGGGGCTCCCAAGCCACTCTCCGCGGCGAGTCACCTTATTTACGCCCGGCGGAGAACAACCTGCCAAAGGAGTCTCTCACGTCAATCCCCCGCGAGTTCGCCCCCTTGCTACAAGAGCAACCAGCCCCGTACAACAGCAGCCCGCTCGCCGGCAAGGAGTCCGAGAGCGGGTACCTGACAGATCCACGGCCCGCGAAGCGCCCTTTCTACAAGACTCTCTGGTTCTGGATCGCCGCGATTATCATCGTCGCCGCGGCCGTCGTCCTTCCTGTCTACTTCGTGGTCATCAGGCCGAAGCATGATAGCAAGACCAGTTCGGGCAGCGCCGCCACCGCGTCGAACTCGACTGGCACGACACCGACGACAGGGAGCGCTCAGGCGCTCGTTCAGTTTGGCGGCGACGGGAGCACGGTCACCAAGGATGACGGAACGACGTTCATTTACAACAACACATTCGGCGGATACTGTAAGCACCTTTTCCCATCTGCTTGTGCACTCGCAGAACATCAGTCTCCCGTCGGGCCGGCTATACAGCCTTGCCCCGTTGTAATTCACGGCCCAGTCTCATCCCTCTCGGATACACACCGGGATACTAGTGCGTGCAGGTCGGCAGATGGCTAGTGTAGCTGGAGGATGTAGGCCAGAGGAGCTCGCTGTGCGGGGGGCCGGCCTTGCAAGGCTTGCGCCAAATCGCGGCATGTGTCTTGCAAGGCCGATGCGCATGTCAAAGTGCTCGCCCATTGGTGGTCGAGGGAACCTGAAGCCTCTACATGCTCCGGTTCCTCAAAATAGATCGGCCATGGGGCCGGGCTTTCCGGTGATACTACGACGCCCAAGGTGGCACGAGCGGTGCGACTAAATGAATGGGCGCGCATTGCTGTGACACAGACATAGTGCTCATCGTCTTTTTGCGTGTCCACAGGGGTATCTAACGCCGAGGACCCCTACGACAACTCCGCACGCCCAAATTCGTGGACGCCTCCGCTTAATCAGAGCTGGCGCTGGGGCGAGGACCGCATCAACGGCGTGAATCTCGGTGGACTCTTCGTTCCCGAGCCCTTCATCGTCCCCGAGCTGTTTGAGACCAACCCGGGCGCGGTGGACGAGTGGACTCTCTCCACGATCCTCGCGGGCAAGGGCCAGCTGCAATCCGTTCTCGAGAACCACTACGACACGTTCATCACCGAAGAGGACATTGCGCAGATCGCAGGTGCGGGTCTGAACTGGATACGCGTCCCGATTCCCTTCTGGGCGATCGAGACTTGGTCGGATGTCGGTGTGGACGGGTCGGGCCAGACTGTGGCAGAGCCCTTCTTGGCTAGGGTGTGCTGGAAGTGAGTTGCGTTTATCTTTTTCGAGGTCGTGTACTAACCAGCATGGCGAAGATACATCCTTCGTCTCATTGGCTGGGCACGCAAGTACGGCCTGCGCGTTTTGCTTGACCTCCACACCATTCCTGGTTCACAAAATGGTGAGTATATGCGTCGTTCTCGTTGTGTCCCATCCTGACAAACATGTTCAGGATACAACCACTCTGGCAAGCTTGGGTCGTTGAACTGGCTCAATGGACCTATGGGTCTTGCCAACGCTGAGCGCTCTCTGGACTACATCCGAACCATCGTCGAGTTCATCTCCCAGGTAGGCCAATACTTCCGTGTCCCCAAAACACATCTAATCGCGCATATAGCCCGAATACAAGGACGTCGTCCAAATGTTCGGTATTCTCAACGAGCCCTTCCTTCCTACCATTGGCCGCGCCCCCATCGAGTCATTGTAAGCACATGGTCGCATGGTATCTGCTGCGCTAGAAGCTGACATACATGTGTTATACCCTCTGCCCACAGCTACCTCCGGGTCTACGAGATGGTTCGCGAGATCACAGGCACGGGCGAAGGCAACGGCCCGATGATCTCCTTCCACGACGGCTTCGACGCGCTTAAGAACTGGGCGAATTTCCTCCCTGGCGCGGACCGCATCGTCATCGGTATGTCTTTCCGTGCATGCGGTCTGTTGTGGGGCCTATCTAACCCCCCATCCTCCGCGCACCAGATGATCACCCGTACTTTGCGTTCGATGGTCAGCCGAACAGGGAACCTGTAAACATCACTGCGGACGGCGGCGATGGCACCCAACTGGGCGGAAAGTGGCCGCTCCAGGCGTGCAACGCGTGGGGCGCAAACATGAACACTAGGTCAGTCCCCATTGCGCGCTTGCTTTTCCGTCTGCTGACCACGGTCTTACACTCCCAGCCGCGCGAACTTCGGTATTTCCGTCGCGGGCGAGTTCAGCAACGCAATCAACGACTGTGGTCTTTGGGTCATCGGAATCGGCGTAAAGCCCAACTACGGCCCCGACTGCGGGTACTGGGCAGACGCTTCGCAGTGGTCGGACGCGAACAAGCAGGGCCTGCTCAACTTCGCGCTCGCCTCTATGGACGCGCTCGGCGACTTCTTCTTCTGGACTTGGAAGATCGGCGCGTCGACCACCACGAACACCGTACAAGCACCACTGTGGTCGTACAAGCTTGGCCTCGAGAACGGCTGGATGCCCAAGGACCCGCGTTCCGCGCGCGGCATGTGCGAGAGCCTCGGCGTCACTCCGCAGCCATTCAACGGGCCATTCCAGCCATGGCAGACGGGTGGCGCGGGCGCGGGCACGATCGCGCCTGCTGCGACAGCAAGCATTCAGCAGTGGCCGCCCACCCTTCAGAACGTCCCGACAGGCGGCGCCACCGCGTTGCCGCAGTACACGAGCCTTGCCACGCCCGTCACGCTCCCTCCCCTGACGCCGACCGCCACTGCGAGCGTCACAGTGACTGCTACGGCAGGCAATGGCTGGTTCGACGCCCAGGACACCGCGCCCGCGGTGACCCCAATCTCGGGCTGTGCGTACCCCGACGCGTGGGACGCCATCGGCGCGCAGGTGCCGCTCTCGGGCTGCCTCCCTGGCCCTACTTCGACATAATACGGGAGGAGGCGCATGGATGCTGGCGTTCGTTCGCCGTTTTCTTGACATTCGTTTACAATGGACATTTTGGACTTTATACCCATTTATAATTATTCGGGTTTCGGTGCTGCATTTTGTCATGTGGTTGCTTGCTTCCAGCTGCACACGTCGGACACTGCCGGCGCCGCACGAGATGTACTTACGAGAAGATATTGTGAATCGAACAGTATTCGTAGCGGTCACATTGAAGGATAGCGCGTCGCTCAGGTGTCTCGGCGCTGCCACCGGAAGGACTGAGTGCTGGCTGATGTTCTCAATCGGACTTCAAGAAAACCAGCAAAGAAATTATGATGACTGCCAATTCGTACAGACAGTCGACTAGCACGGCCGCTGTGGTCATTATGGTATATACTATACATAGTGGGTATGATTACAGGCCTCGCGCATAGCATGCTGAGCCTAGGCTAAATTTGTGAAATGACAGTCGTGGACCGCGCCAGGTCTACCAGAAGCGCGTGCTCTCTCTAGGGAAGCCGTTTGCCAAGCGCATCATGACTGCGTTTGACGTCAATGTCGAGAACTGCGAACAACGATAGTGCATCAGCGCAGCCCCTGCGGAGTGGCGGTAAGATGATAAACTCTAACTCACCCCGTTCCCGAGCAGTATCTGCGCCCGTTGTGCGATGAGCATATCCACCGCCTGCGAGACATACTTCTGCTCCCAGTTGAGTACGAGGTCACGACTAGTCGCGATCATTTCCCATCCGCCGAGCGTCCACAACGCGTCCTTGAGGTCGCGCAGGTACTCCGGGCGGCCGTTCGTCATGATGTACAGCCGCCGCACCCCATGCGCGGCGGAGGTCGCGCGCACCTGCGCGACCTTTGCCGTGATCTCCTGGATGGTCGGCAGGCACCGCTTGCGGTAGATCTCCACGTTCTCCGGCGTGTTGTTCCCGTACTCGGTGTGCGGGGGCACGGTGAAGGGGTCCATCATGTCCGGGAACGCGTCGACGCTCACGAAGTCTTCCGACCACATCGCGAGCGTGCGGCAGTGCGTCGCGTAGTCGCCTTTGCGCACGTGGAGCACCATGAGTCCGGGGATCGGGGCGTAGCGCTCGGCGTTGGTCGTGTAGGACATGCTGGAGAGGTGCGGGACGACGGTGGAGGAGGGGACGAAGAGGTCGTGGTTGTTGTCAGACGCGAGTTCTACTAGTGGTGACCAGCCGAAGTGGGTGAACATCGGGGAGCGCACCAGGTCGGGCCAGATATCGAGAAGTGACGACCGGACTCCCCAGACACTGTGTGAGGATGAGCGCGACTGCATACTATGCATGCAGGGGATACGTACTCGTGGTGGCTGAATATGGGTCCCGATCCCCGTGAGGCCTGCACGCAGGGCTCCTGCATACCTTTCAGGGTGGTCGCCCACTTCTCGGTCATTTCCTGCGCAGAGTTCACATCCGAGAGCGTTGCGTGGATTCTGCTCCTATCAAGGTCGACCTTATCAGGGCAAAGTTGGTCGAAGTAGTCCTTGGTTACAGCCCGAGGCGCGAGGTCGCCGCGCGGAAATGGGTCGCCGACGATGGGTCCTGTTCACTCCTGTTTAGATTCGGTCACTTACACACAACCCAAATACGTACCATGAAGCAATACCGAGTAAGGGATCTGCGAAGGAATCATCTTGCCAGTACCCTCATAGTCGGAGTACACGGATCCGTCGTCGTTCCATGTGAAGTTGCGAGCCGTCTACATTCCAGTTTGCAACACGCGCGGGGTAGTATCCCAACGGTGGGTTGCAAACTGTTGGGATACCAATGTGGCTGTGCGGTAGGCGCTCGAAAAAGACGCCCGGCCTACCACCCGATCTGGGCTTGCGGCGCTTAAACTACGAGTTAGCGCAGCGTCATTCAAAAACCACCGCCAGGGGGAATCGAACGCAAGGCATAACGTGAAACTACGTTTATTAACGACGCGATACCACTTCGCCATAGTAGCTACAACATTGCCATATGTAATAGCAATATATCAGCTTTGCGCCCTCACCAATGTCCTATACGCTGCCCTCCCTCCCCCTACCCCGTACTCTCTGGCCAGTCGGATTGCAAACCCGGCTCGTTTTGCAATCCCTCATATCGTCTTTCAACAACCGCTCGGTTTTCCAAACCTGTGGGCCGTCCCTTAGAACCACTCATCGTGGGCCGTGCGCAGTGACTTGTGCAGTCCAGCCTGCTGCATGGAAATAGCGAAAGTGCAGAGACCGGGAATGCAGAATTCCCCGCCACGGAGGGTACATCGGCGTACCCTTGCGCCTGGTGCAGCTCCTCTGCACGTTGCCTCGCGCTCAAGGGCGCGCGTTGCGCAGTTACGCACCTGGTCGGAGTGAACAGTCAGAGAAGCCCACTTCGACATCTCCCGCGTCGGGGTACCCATGAGCTGCGTGCGCGCGCCGAACCGTCCTTCTTAAGTCCCGCGCGCCCTTGTGAGTGTGCCTTTACGATGCGTGGCACTCAGAAGTGCGACGGTGGTAGCGCCAGGGCGTCAAGGCACTTAGGCGGCCCGACGCGCACGATTGACCATGAAGGGCAATTGCGCGCGTATAGTGTAAGTGTACGCGCGCTATACCTTTGCTGTTGCTGCACGCCCACCGGTAGAGCGGAGCCTATGCGCGTCGCGCGCGTCGCGCGCGCAGGCGTCCCGGTGCAATCTAAGTCCACATGAAGCGCACGCAGCCCGAATGATGCAACATGTCGACATCGCGTGCCTGTCGGTGTCGCAATCCGCCACCCATGATATAAGCGAAGTCGCACCCTCTCACGCGACGACGAGTCCAGCAAACGCACGTCGCGTGCGCGCGGGATATAGGACCGCATCTCTCAGGGAAGAGAGCGTGTATACGCATTGGCCATACATATGTGGAAGTTACAGGATTGCGACACACTAGGCCCTTGAACCTGTCACGAGGCAATGGTGAGTACATGGGTGTTACACGCGAAACGGATGACCTCACCAAGTCGCTTTTGAATGGGTCGCGTAACGGCTAGCTCATCGCAACGCCAGGCCCTGGAGTTCGGCTCCCAACTCGCACAGGCACACAGCGTCCGGCAGACGAATTAGAAGGGTGTGTGTGCCCTCGCCAACCTGTAGCGCTTGCTTACTCGTCGCTATCTTCCATTCCGTGGTTGCCGGGTCCCAGAGTTCGAACTTGACCGCTGCGTCCAATTTCCTCAGCTCATGGACGCGAGAGAGAAGGAATTGGCGGTTCGGAGCCAAGTACAGCGTTTCCTCATACGGGCCTAACCCGCCCTGCAGTGATAGTATGAGCCACTCGCTGCGAGCTTGATACGGCAGATACTCACATGTTCCCACACCACCACGGTGATGCGATTGTCCGCGCGCTCCCGCCTGAGGATCCGCTTCTCCGCTTGGAAGGCCTCCAATTCGTACTGATCGACTAGCCTCTGGGTCGGCATCCCCACCGTGCAGATGGCGGTCAGGACCTTCCCCAGGTCCATGCATTGATGCGCGTTGGTCGACCGGAGAACGACCGAGCGCAGGCCTTTGTTGACGTCGATGCAACCGTCTCGAACGGGTTGCCATCTGTCAAACTCAAGTTCCCAGAACTCGAATTCACGCGGCCCGGAGCGCGCGCTCGCCCTGCAGAAACTTAGGTCCTCCAGGTACAGCTTACCAACGGTGCGGGTAGACACGCGGAGGACTGTCGGCGTCATCCCATTCTGTCCCGCGCGAGTTAGCATCATCATCCGCGTCGACCGCGCTTGCGCTTACCTCCGTCCACAAGAACAAGGCAGTGATGGGCTGCATAAATGAGTCAATAGGTGACACATCTGATAGCGTACGGTGACTCACAGAGCGTATGCCGACTTCGCGGGGCTCTCCCAAAGGTACATCCTTGAACCCGAGCTTATCTACCAAGAACAGCTACAATAGGAGCCAGTGAGCTCAACGATGACGGCGGACGCAATGCTGAATAGATCAATATACCGTGTACACGTTCTGTCGGTGGGACATCTGCGCGGAAGTTAGCCAGAGCGAAGGGACCGCGGTCATCCGACGTGCTCACCTCATCGAACTCGCATGGCCAGAGATTGGCCGCCTTGCGTGCAGCGTATTGCTCCGGATCTTCATCAGGGGTCGATGGAACCCCAGATTCAGCACGTAAGGCGGCCAGGGCTGCGTTCACGAGCAGCAGGTCTTGTCCGCTAGCGTAGAGCTCGCTGTTCGGGTCGAGCACGGGTAACCCGTCCTCATCGAGCTCCACGTACGGGACCGGGCCCGACATGGCTTCCTGTAGCGTGGCGCAACCCGCCTCAACCGGCGGGTCCACGTACGGGGCAAGGTCCACGTACGGGACAAGGCCGAATGGGACTCCCTTTTCGGTATCACGAGCCGCCTCGTCGTCAGACGTGTCAGTGTACGTCTCGTCGGTGAATTCGTCGGTGAACTCGTCGGTCTGCTCCTCGGATGAAGCGCTCTCGTCATCGGACGGCTTCTCTTCTTGAGCATGGGCCTGGAGCGCCTCTTTGTCATTGCGGGTTCTTCGCGATCGCTTAGCGGGGGGCGCGGCCTTGCCTTTCCCTTTCTTCGGTGAGGGTCCAGCGCACGCGTTGCGATTGGCGGCGTTCTGTACCGTTGGAGGTCAGCTTCCGCAGGTTGCCACATGCACGGACACTCACTCTGAAGGGGGTGTCATCCATGCGGTCCACCGCCGCGGGCCTCTCATCTTCTGCCGCTAGTCGTCGGGCCAGAGCCTCGTCGGCTAAGATATTGTTGTCATTCTGCATTGTCGGAAGTCAGCTTCGCCGCGCTGCACGAGCGCGTACACTCACTCTAACGGGGGTGCCACCTATGCGTCCCACCGCCCCAGCCCCTTCGTCTGCCGCCGCCAATCGCCTTGCAAGAGCCTCGTCGGCCGCCACTTGCTCGAAGATGGCCCGCGCCGCCGGGTCCAACGAATCGGCATGCTGCTGCTCTCGCAACGCCTCGATCTCCAAAAGCTGCTCATCCGAAGGCCCCGGTTGGTCCGGACGCGTGATGTGCGCGTGCGGTTTCTTCTTACGCTTCTTTCCTCCCTTGTCATGGTTGCCAGAGTTTTTTAAACACTGGCATTTTGTTAGCTACTGTTTCAATGCATATGTGCGCACTCACAATGTACTGGTCGGCGGCGGCCCATCCGCGAGCGTACATCAGCTGTTTCTTGACAGGTGACTTACACACCGGACACTGATGCAGTACCGGGGGCCCTTTGTACCGATACTTCTTGCATAACGCTCGCATCTCTGGCGTATAGCCTGAGCGTGGCGGCTTGGAGAGGGGATCGAGGCCCTCGGGCCTCGCATCAGGGTATTTGTAGAGTCGGTAGCGTCGGGGGGCGTCGCGTCGCATGAGGGTCAGTGTCGAAGTGGGCGGGAGCCAAAAGAGACCTTGCAGGATAGTTGAATGGGCTGACAGAGGACGCGTACTACGAGGGCGGCGCCGGTGAGCTCACCTTTTATGCTAGGACCCTTGCGGCGGACTCTGAACTGTAGAAATATAATCTTCGTCAGTGCCCAGGTACCTGGAATTGGCTGGCTGCGATCAGCTCGTCCGAGTATCCAAATACGGGATACGTGCAAGGTGAGGCTGAATAGGTAGTCCGCGCATTTCATTCGGTCGTCGGTATATTGCAGCCCCCGCAGACCTCCGATCGATCTCCTCCCCTTGACCAGGCCCGCTCTAACCAACTAACCGAATGACGGAACCCTGCCGCTCCATTGGAGCCCCAGATTCAATCCAGCTCTCGCATGAGACCACGTTGAACTTCGTCCCATGCGCCGGCGAACGTGGTTGCCTACAACTAAGACTTGGCTACAATATATGACACTAATTTGAAAGCCGCGGACGCGCGCCCCCCGTCGACATTCTGACCGAACGCCTCTTCCCCCGTTTTGCAACGCCGTCGCTTGGTGCTTGTACGTCCAACGACCGCGCCCGCTTCCTGACGCCGCTGGCGGAATTTGGAATCTCGTGAGAACCACTGGACGTAGGAGTACGGTTGCCACGCCCCAAAACGAGTCCAACTTCGGTCACGAGCCGCGACGTTCTACTTGTGCCACGCACGGGAGATGCCCTACCAGACGTTTGTGCTGCGCGCGTGTTGCTCGCTTCAGGACCCTGTCATAGATGAGATTAGTCGAAGTACAGCTGCATCTTCGTGGGCGGCCAACCTCGGGCTCCTGACATATGTCGCGGCTCGTCATTTGATGTTTTCCAGCGAACGAAATGGTCTGCAGGATGGTAGTGTCAGTGCATGACGAAGCATCTGAGTTTAGCTGGGACTGACCCTCCCACGCGACGGAGACTCGTCTACATTCTGCAGACTGTTAGCCCGGAAGGGTAGACGTCATGCCAAACACCTCACCTTGAGGTTCGGGGTTCCCGGCGTCCACGGGGCACCGTCTGCGCGAGCTACTTCATCTAAACGAGCGAGCACGTCGCCCATGTCCAGCGTGCACCACGTCGCCGTGTTCTTCATCAACAGCGTGCGATGCACCGGAAGCAGCATAAACGGAGTGTCTATGCGGCGAGTTCTCCACTCCGTCTCCTCCGGGATCCACACGTCGATGTGGTTTAGAACGAGCTCGCCCTCCGGGTCGGAAGGGTGCGTCCACAACGCACGAATCGCCGCATGTGAGGTCAGACAAAAACTACCATCAGGTTCGAGCGGCAGATGGTACATGGCTGGCTTGACGCCGTTCTAAACGGGTGATTAGCAGCGAAGGGTCATGAATTGGTATTGCACGCCCACCTCGGCCCAGATGATGACCTGAGCCCACGCGGCGAACTCGCTGAATGCGCGGGGGAAGTCTCCCTGTAGCGATTTCTGGAATCCGATGCTGAAGTGTCGATTGAGCATCTCGACCTCGTCTCCGAAATTGAGACAGCGCGCAACCCCTCCAACGCGCATGAGGATGGCAGCGCGGGAGTCCAGCACAGGCACCTTGGGATCGCCTAGGGCGTATACCTCCCAACCCGCCTGCTGCATGCTCCAAATCTCACACCAAAAGGCGCTGTCTCCTCCGCAAGCCTCAATAATCCAATCAATATTGGAGACGTCCAGGTTGTTGCTCGTATCGACAGGTTCCATCTTCATGCGCGCAGGCACATCGTTCTGGGGCCTTGCATGAGCAGCGTAGTATGGTACATAATGTTATACTCACCGCAAACCAGAGAACGATGCGCACGGCGGGTTGCGGGTCTGGCAAGGCAAGCATCGGCGAAGGACTGCGAACGGCCATGGCGGAGGAGGGTGATCGCGTGAATGGGGAGACGGGGGTTCCGTGCAGAGGTTGGCGGGGAGGGGCGTACCGTGCAGAGCATGACCAGCGTCAAGGCCTCCACTGGGACGTATGAAATTCCGCATAAACTCGTTCTCTACGATCCGGATCGAGATCCGGCTGACGATTGGTCCCAACATCCGGGGCGGTTGACACTTCAGGCTCGAGCACTTCAAACATTCACCATCAGGCACACCTTCATCAGTCTCGAATCGGTGAACAGTGCAACATACCGAACGGAGGATCGGCGCCGCACACATGTCTATTCTCCTTGCCCATGCTCACCCTATCACCGACCTGCCCTGCGTGCCGCCCACTATCCTGAACGCGCCTAGTACATGGAACGCTAACTAAGTCCGCCGTGCCCTTTTCGCCGCTTTCGTGGCCCCCGAAGCCGCCCGCTTCTTTCCCTTCTCCGTCGTCGGCAGTTGAGTCCGGCTCGTGAGCGTCTGCAATCTGCGACAGCGTTAGCTCGTCGCGGCGGCCCAACGAAAGACATACCCGTCGTCATTATCCTGGCGGCTCTTGGTTCGCCGCTGTCGGGGTTCACGAGAGCCGGCGAGAGTCTCGGTGGCGATATCCGAGACGGGTAGCATCAGACCAGTGGTCTTGCGTGTCCTCCTTGAAAGGCGCTTCTTCTTGCGCGGACTTTGGGAAAGCGGGACGACTGTTGCAGCGGCGTGGTCGGCGTCACCCCCGACGCCGTGCGCAGCTTCTCCGCCAGAGGGTGCATCAACGTCTATTCAACGAACATCAGTGAGCCTGTCCGATGCGCAACAATGACTCCGTACCATGCTCGACATCAACGATTGTGAAGGAACCACGAGGAATAGCGATTGATGCCTGTCGGTCGCGTTGAGGCGTCGACACCGGCGTGGACTTCGCAGTTGAAATACGGGAGGGCGTGGTCGGTTCGGCGGGGCGCGGCACCTCGTTTGTGCTTGCCTCGCTCAATGCTTTCGCCCGCTTGCGTGCGGCACGCGGGGGCAAGATAGACTCCGAGCTCTTGGCTGCACGCAATTCTGTGTGACAGTCAGATGGACCCCTATTGAGCACCGGAAGTTGCTAACCTTGTAGTAGCCTGTCTCCCTCGGTGACGAACGGCGACGTGACCTGTGATTCAGTCGCTGTTGGTGTGTCAGACCAACGTCCAGGTGACGTCGACGCCCAGGACATACCCTGGCGGCTCTGCTCCAGCCATAAGCCTACAATGCCCTCAAATTCCTGGGAAGTCCACCGCCCGAGCTGACGAAGCGCTTCGAGTAAGGAAAGACCATTACGATTCTTCCCTCGCTCGGCGCTGCGTAATGTCAGCATCGTGAACAGCGTCCGCATCGAGCGGAGGCTCACATGTAATGGACGGGTTCACCGTCCACGCCTGGTCCTCCAACAACCAAAGCACCTCCCCAGTTGAGTTGCTCGTAAAGAGCGTCCAAAGTGCTGTCCAACCACTGCGCCACGGCGTCGGCCGACCTAAGGGCCTAGTCAGCGTCGATCAAGAACATGCGCTGCAGCGCTCACAGTGTGGGTTGCCCGTCCTCGCTTGCATGCTTCGCCGCCCATTCACTCGCCAGCTTCTTGTTCAATACATCCGCCTTGCTTTCGTACTCGGCCACTTGCTCCGGCGTGAGTTCGTCGAACGCCGCTTGGTTCCTCTCGCGGAATTTATTCACGGGATAGCGTCCGGTGGAGGGGGCGTCCCGGGGGGCTTCCTTCATGTACATCTCGAAAGCACTGCGTTTGCGAGGCGCACGAAGTGGCGGGATTGGGATGACAGCGATGTTCTGGACGACAGCGGCGGGTTCACCCTGGCGCTTGGATTTGGTGTGCAGTTCATCACGAACCCAACCATACATTATCTAAGGACGTCGTCAGCGCATATCCCAACAACAGAAGCACACACCTCTGCCAGACTGTCCAGACGTTCACCGAACTCCTCCTCGGTCTCGGCAGGTTTCTTCACTGCGAGTTCCTTCTTATCCCGCTTCATATTCCCTTTACGCTTCTTGAATTCTGCGTCAGTTTCTCCGGCGTACGGTTCAGTACAATGAAGAAGGAACGCGGGACAGAGTGCGTTCGCGATGTCCTGTATTTTCCCATTCGGCTCAGAACGGTTGACGATGTGCTGGATTTCGGGGAGTTGCCATTGCTCGCGAAGAAAGAGCACCTCAGGACGATAGAACCTGACCATGCTGACAAGAGGACGACGCCAGGACGAGAGCAACACGCCGAAGACTGTCGGAGGAGGTCAACACTGGTGTCCGGGAGTTGGAACGACGGAGCTCGGAAACACACCTGGCAGCCTATTGGAGGGCCAAAGCGCCATCGGCTTGATTGCAAATCAGCCTAGTGCACTGGCTCGGTGGTCAATCGCGCCGAGGTGTGTATCCAGGCCACTTGCTACACTCTATACTATACATTACCCGAACCGAGAGGGGGGAAATGCACAATAATCGACTAGCGTTGTCTACAGCCACCACGAAAGACTAAACTATTGCGACACTAGCATACAACTCGAAGGAATACAGATGGGGGGAATAGGTAAACGATGGAAGTAAGAGACGAACGTACGTACGTAGTACTCTACAGCCTCGCGCTGGTAATATTCGAACAGATTCGCACTGCAGGTTTCATCCTCGACGTCCGCGTCGACCAGGAACTGAGGCGTATCGGGCCACCGTGTCATTACTGCCAAAAGACGTGTCAGGTACCGCCGACTCTCGGTCCAGGATGGATCGGGAGGGCTCGTCCAGCAGAATGGGGCGTCGGTGATGTCGGCGGGCGGGATAACGCTGACCACGGATGAACGGGAGCCCCAGACGCTGGACACGAGAGCCTCCCTCTCCCACCGATTCATTTCTGTCCACGTCGGGCGCTGCACCAACGCGGTATCGAGCGCCATGAGCTCGCAACGATAATTGATCTCGTGGGCCTCCCATAAAAGCCGATGGCGAACGCTGAGCGACGTCGCTGCCTCCATGGCGGAGATGGGGAGGCCAGCCAAATCCGGTGTGAAATCCGGACGATACGAGGGGAGGAGGGCGGCGCGGCCAAGCAAGCGGCTGATTCCATTCCGCTCCGCCTGTCGCTTCTCCGCGCGGCGCACGTCGCCATCTGTCTGACCGCCGGCCGGATGCGTGTGGACCTCGTAATCGCCCCAGAGCGCTGCACGCCACTCTGCGATCGTCAGGGGGTGGCTAGACATGGATGGATCAAACAGCCGCGCACGGCAAAACCTCCGGATGCGAACAAGGTTGTGAAGGTACCGATGCACCTTCTGGTCGTAGCGGGCACACTCCGGGCGAGGACAGTCGCGTCCCACGCCAGAAATGGACGAAACGGTGTCCAGCAGGAAGGGGGGAGGGTAGTAGTATACCACTGAGACCGTCGGCTGCGGGATGGGGGAGACTTTCTCCAGGGCGCGCCGCCAGACGTCGGGAACCGAATAGAACGGCGAAAATACGAACGAGCGTGACGGATGAGCGACAATCGCCGCTCGCCGATCGACTTCGGCTCCAGGTTGCCCAGTGCCGCCGTCAGCCGCCGAAGGCTCGCCCGTGTTCGAAATCGCAATCCCCTCGTGTGGGGCGCCCGCTCCCTTCCGTGCACGCTTGCCTCCTCGCACTTTCTTCTTCTTCTTGGGCGGCTCCTCTGAGTTCATGACTGCTGCGGCGGGCACCACCAAATGTTTCGAACGCATGTCGAGAGTGTCGCTACGAGGACGCTTGCTCACGTCCAGCGACTCTCCTCCGGTCGTGGGCATCTCCGGCAGCCGCGAGCTGCACACCTGCTTCGACACCGACATCGACATGACACTCAACCAGTTGCCGGTGAGATTCAGAATTCCAGCGACGACCTTGTTATTTTGGATGATAGGGGGCTGCGACGGCGGAAGGGTCTGGGTGGCGGAGACTGCGGAGACGACCTTCCATATCGGAACTTGGTGAGTCAACGTCTGGAGGAACCACGTAGGAAGCCCGATGCGCACACACGTCTGTGCGTCCGTGCCTTCACGGACGAACGAACCGAGAACAGGGAGGACGTGTTTTGAGAAGTCGTCAGGATTGTTCAAGCGAGGCTGAACGACGTTGAGGTAGGTGAGAATCCCCTCTAACTCCAAACATAGGCGTTGCACATGCGCTCCGACCGCAATGGCGATCCCGGGGGGAGACGGTAGCTGTGTCATCCTGTCGACTACCTGCCCGAGAAGCAAGCGGAGCAAGCGGCCGTGAGCGCGAGTCGCTTCAGTGCCGACGCAGCAGAACTCCGTCTTGGCGCTGACCATGTCGGCCACGGTGGTAAGTGCGCTCCTCGTATCCTTATCCAAGTAGCCGAGACCCTTGACGCCAGTTTCGAGATCTTCTTTCCAGTGGGTAGTGGGGTGCAGGTTCGCCCAAAGGATAGCGCGGGAGATGTCGCCGTCGTCCTGGCGAGGAATACAGGCGACGTGCATCATCTCCCGCAGAAGCATCTGAGGGTGCCGGGAGTATTCGTGCACTCCCCAGCGGCCATCGGAGAACGTCTGGATGAGGATGCGCTCGACGGGATATTGCGGTACGTAGTCCATATTGGGTGACGTAATGACCATCGAGGTGAACAAGTCTTGTGCAGCTACTTTACCCTCGAAAGGAGGACACACAGACGGCGCTGTCGGAGCGTCAGGAAGACATCGGTCGGGTGAGTCATGATTAGCTCACCGATGCCATATCTGTTGACTCGCAATGTAGGAGGTCGGACGGGGACAAGCGGTGCACTTTTTGAATCGGAGGAGTGCGCAGGAGGTGGAGCCGGCGCAACGAAACCAGAGCCACCGCGGGCGGGGGTCGCATCGGCCGTCGGAACGTTCTCGTGAACATTTTGAGCGGTGTCCGGCTGCACGGGTCGCACGGGATCGATGCCAGCGCGCGCTTCAGGAATCGAGGAGCTACTGACGGTCCTGAAAGCCTCGTCAGCTGCACCCCCAGGTAACTTCGACATACTGACTTGTTTGAGGACGAAGACTGGGTGGTCGTGGTCGGAGACTGCGACCGCCGCCGTGGACGGCGTTTAAACTTCAAATGCGCGTACTTGCTCGTCGTCGACTGCGGCACACCATCGGAGTCCATCGCTAGGTCTTTGGATCAAAATTCAGGGGAAAACTATGTGGGGGACGCAGGGGAAGAGGAAACGATCACCTGCTGAGGGATCGCCGCGAGCGGTCACGTAAATCGGGGGGCAGGGTGCCGGCACCAACTTAAAGAGACTGACAGATACTTGCTGTGCGGTAGGTCGAAATCAGGTGTGGCAAGCCTTGGGCTGTCCTCACACTGATTATACGCAAAAACACGTCGCGGAGCAATAGAGCTCGCTCAGTGTATTGCGGGGGGAGGGAGAAGGAAGATCTTCGTGACGTGTTGTCGTCTAGCGGGCGATATCTGAGCAATTGCGCGTTATCAGCGGCCCCAGCTCTTTTGTGATCCCAGCGGTATCCTCCCTTGCGCGTGTACTTCGAGGATGGATGACTTACGTTGCTCTTGAGGGCTTGAGGTGGAGGACGTGTGAGGTGCGTGGCTGCTTGGGATGAGATTGGTCTGAGCGTGCGTGACCGTGTTCGATGAAGCGCCGAAGCCAATCGATGAGATCCAGGCCAGCTTCTTGCAGCACGTGGTCGCCCGTCTTCTCATTGGGCTAGAAGCTGTAAATCTGGACCCTTAAGGGCTCTCCGATGGTATCGGGTACGATCGTCGATCGACTTTACCCCGCATTACATCATAGGCAGACTTCTTCCCGACCTGCGAGTGTTTGCAAAACATAGAACGCGCGAGGACGACTGACATAGCTACGCAAACGGGGCTATGTCGCAGGGCTCAAGAAAATTACATCGAAATTTATGCATCGGAGTATCGGCAGTAGCACCTCATTGAAAACACAAGGAGGCATGAACGCCGGCATAACATCAAGCTCCAGGCGCGCCAACGAGAGGGGTCGAGATAGTACTCGTAAACATTGCCAGTTGCCTTTGAGCTCAATCGCACGACGACGCGGGAACTGAATCGGGCGAGCCCGGCGACCATGAGATATATTTTGGCAATCAATACTCTGTAGGGACAATGGAGCGTTAGCATTTGAGATGCTAACGCGAGGTACTTCTTGTAACGATCAAAATGTCGGACGTCACAAAGCCCGGGCCATCCCGCATTCAGTATGGTGTCATAGTCGTCGGAATATACACGCGTACCTGGGTGTACTCAGTTCCGTGTCAAATGAAGGACTGTCTTCTTGCTATGATAGCGTTAGTATCTGTAGAAGGGCTGAAAATCGGAAATATCACTTCGCTTGGTGCACGTAACGGAATAAGCCAGGCAGCCAATTGAGACATAGTCGAGGTACTCTCGGCCTAGAGCGTGGCGAATAAATCCATGTATACCTGGTAACTCGAAAATGGTATGTGCGGACGCCCGAAGCAAGAAATGCACGCATGTATTTGGTTGACTAGCTTGACATGCTCCGAGTCGACATATGATGCATGTGCAGCATAGACACATTGTCCAAATGATATCCTACATGTGTACTATACATTTCAGTCAAGTACACCATCCATGACTGCCTGTGTAACCACCTGTTCGCTCAAACATAGCTTTTGGACGAACCTTGGTGACTTCAATTACTACACTCCACCTTGGCAAGAACGTAAAGACGGCTTTAGATGGCTTTTGCCACGCGCGTTGACTGCCCTGCGTGAACGGGCTGGTCTATGCCTGTAACGTACGCAGCAGATCAGCAGGTCGTCTGGGGCAAAATACTAGAAGAGCGTATATTCGAGAGTCGGCGAGGTAAGCAGACATATAGTTGATTATAGTAGGAAGCTTGCAGATGCGCGCGAGACGAAATGCGGTCATATCGGCCTTGGCACTTATGGTACGTTGCGCAACTAACATGCAATGAACTACTAATGGACCGCAATAGCAACAACCTCGGCTTGAAATCTAAGCTATAGAAGTTAGCAGCTTTGAATGAAGCTCTTTCTAATCAGGCGTGTTGAAAGTAACCGGCACGGTTAGTCGGCCGTGTGAGTCCGCGTGTAGCGTCAACCCACTGAGGAATGATCGCAGTCTCTGTATTCTACCTTCCTCTTGCAACCACCCCGTTCCGCCTTGCCCGCTCACGCCATCCCGCAAACCTGTTCAAGCTCGTGCAGTCCCGCCACACAGAGTACGTAACATATCAAGCTTCATGCGCATGGCTGCCTGACACGAGACGTTTGCCAGCGAAAACGGTTCGTTGAAGCATGCTGGCCCTTCACACGCCTTCCACGATCGCCCGACTGTTCACCATTCGACACCCCTTCGGACGCGCTCCGGCTCACGGCCGTAGAGCGTTGTCCAAGGGCGCAAGCTGTTTGTTATCGCAGGTGGCCAAGCCAGCTGCGTGACTTACCGCTCTGCACTTATCGACACCCGTCATGGTCAAACTCGACTTCGCTGGTTGACGAATCACCTTGACAACATGTGCAAAGTCTATGGACCGCATGAAGAGAAAGCTACTGATCGAGTACGATCCGGGTGTGTCGGGCATGTCGTCGGCGGAGATGGGTGCATTTAGTGCGCGGTGAGTTACTTCTATCAGCAGTCGCATGAAGCTCGTACATGATCGTTTTGTGATCTCTGCTAGAAATGTTTTATGGAGCACGACGGCCTTATCGTGGCCGAGTCCTCAACACATGCGCGATTCACGCCACACCGGAATGTGGTGAACTTCGATGGGTCAATGTGAACCTGGAACTCTGCCGAAGGGGACCAGATCTTCCAATGGTGTGTTGATGTTGAGTTTGAATGGATGTTCCTCGGACGTCGCCCCCCGCACGTTGTTTGGATTTGATAATTGATTATACTTGACTGCAGAGTGCAGCAAACGGTTCCTCGTTTGACGTAAGAACACCCATTGAGTATCGTCTTAAACTGCAGTCTGATTGGGTACATGTCATTTGGGAGTACATATGTGATAGCGCACTAGTACGTTGTCATTCGTTTCTTATCTCTACTATATCACTCACGGTGCTTTGACATATAAGTGATCGATGTGCCCCCACAAGGAAGAAAGGACATACGATGGGCGCCCCGGTCAATGAAGTTTCCAAAGCAACCCATCGCCCTACGCCTTAACGCGGTTTCATGAGGACGCAGAAGGTTTCAGCATACTTGCCGATTTCGCCCTTCCGCAACGAATATATTCAGTAGTATGTGTGTGCGGGGTGCGTGGATTCGGTGCGCCCTTAACGTATGTGAAGTATGTGAAGACGCTGAAGGTCGTTCAATGTACACCAGCCACGTCGATCGAGTGGACCGTGTCGATCGAGATCGCTCGAGCCCGATGCTCCGCCCAGGGCGTGCGAATGTGAGAGCATTCAAGCAACCGTCCCCCACCCGCGGTGACCCCTCCTATCCGCTCTATCATCTCACTTCGGCAACCATCCCACAATGACCAAAGGTGCTCGCCCGAAAGGACGCTTCGGTAGCCTCAAAAGTCTTTTGACACCCAAACGCGCCCGCGTGAGCCCCGCACCGCCAGACCCACCCGCTCCGTTTCGCTCCGTATGGGGGAAAGAGGAGGATCTCGAGGCAAGCGCGAATGGCTGCGATCTCAAGGACAATCGGCAAGAAATCGCTTCTGTGAGCCACGACGATGGGTGCTTCGGACGCGAAACGAGAGCTGCCACGCGAAAATTTGTTGTGACCGTGGAGGATGAAATAGAGGAGGGCGAAGAAGAGGATGACTCGGATTTTGACGAGGTTGAGGGGGTGCCTCCCCCCAATCCGTACTCGGTGCGTTCACATTTACGCATGCCTCTACGACATTCTAACTGCGGCCTAGCCGTCCTCTCGCCAATCCGCGTTCCGCGACAAGTACGGCAAGGAAGCACAGGAGGCGATGTACGCTCGAGGCGCTCCTCCCTTGAACCTGCTAACATGCCCGACTTGTAATATCATGCTACAAGCGCTGCCGGACAGTCATCGTACACTCTACCGTTGCGATGACTGCATCGGTGGAGGGTTACGGTGCCGCGAATGTTTGCTCACCTCCCACGCCGAACGTCCCCTCGACCGCATCACCGCCTGGGACAAGACTGCCAGATTATGGGTCCCAGAGACGTTCGCCAACCTCGGCTTCGAGCTGCGACTCGGTCACGCTGGGACTCAGTGCCCGAACTCGAGGTCGTCGCGCCTGACAACAATAGTGCACGATCGTGGCATCGTCGCCCTACCCATCCGATACTGCCGATGTAGCGGAGTGTCGAAAGAGCCGCTGCAGCTCATCGCAAGTGGCTTCTGGCCAGCTACATGGAAGACCCCTCGGACGGCGATGACTTTAGGCGTCATGGACACCTATCATATGATTGCGCGGCAGGCGCAAGTCAGCGTGGACGACTATGTTCGTCATCTTGCTCGGCTCACGGACAACGTGTTACCGACAGATATAGCCGTAAGCAGCACCCTTCGCTCGGTCAACGCAGAGCTAATGGTCAACAGAATCGTTATCGAGAGTTCAACAACGCGTCGAGGCAGTATGACCACCTTAGACGTTGTGCGGAGTACGACGTTTGGGTGGGGGACCAGCTGGAAAACGGCCAACTGTGCCAGGTGTGTCCCGCCTGCCCGCAGCCTGATGTGAATATGCGAGAAGGGTGGCAAGAGCGGTTGCCCGAGTATCGGTAAGTGCCAAGTTTGTTTTTGAATGCACCGCTGACCTCGGGGCAGTTACCTGGACGCCCTGCAATACTCTATCGATGGAAATTTTCATCTTAGCATGAAGGACAGGGACACTGATCCCCTCGATGTCGCCCTTTCTGACGGCGCGGGATACTTCGTGCCCAGCAAGACATCCAAGCAGTTCTTCAAGAAGACCAAGCCTCCTAAGATTGAGGTACGTCGCCAGCGCGTCACAAAGGCGCATTCGATGATGTGTGGCTAGGCGAGCACTTGTAATCAATTTGGCGCAATGGGACAGGGTAAGTATAAGGGGAAGGTCTCGGGCGTCGTCGGTATCTCGTGCAGGCACATGTTCATGCTTGCGAACTCTATCATTGATCTCATTCGCGCCGAGCAGTACGTAGTGACTCAGGTTACCTGACGTCGAACCAACACTGACCCATGAGAACAGGTATCAATTTGTCGATCTGGCCCTCCTGTGCACGCTCCAGAAGTACTTGATCCTGCGCGTCTTGTTCGGCACCTACGACATCAATTGCCAGTACATGATCAACCTACGCAAGCGGCTTGCGGACTACGGCGTCGTCTTGGCCGAGATCGATGGACTCGAGTCGACGGTACTTCCCCAGATCATTGCGGGCGTGGGGAAGTATCACTTGAGCATGCACACCAAAGAATGCCGGCACAAGTATTCTATGCACTTCCTTCCCGGCGCGTGCATGTTCGACGGGGAGCCAATGGAGCGGATCTGGGCGATTCTCAACGCTCTCGCGCTGCGAACAAAGGAGATGTCTGGGGGTCATCGTCACGACGTGCTTAACGAACACTTCGAGGACATGAACATCCGTCGTCTGCAGATTTTAGGTAAAGCTTGCTGGTATGTGATCGAAGCCGACGCTGACGTCGCTTATAGTGAAAGAACTCTTGAGGAAGTACGAAGAGGGCGTCAAACGCGCGGGCGAGCTCGCAATGTACCTGCGCAGGATCGAGACCTCGATCGGGCCGTCCCACATTGTCGCCTGGCGTGTGGAGGAGGCTGCGTACCTGGAGGCCGTGGTCGACATCACACAGCACAAGAACCTGAAGAATATCTATGAGCCGCCTGCGGAAGCCTGTACGTTCAATTTGGTTGCGTTTGAGATCTCGCTGATTTTGCATGTACGCAGCGTTGACGCAGAAGGACATCGTGGATCAGCTCGCGGCTGAGCAAGCCGCAGTCCCGAACGGGGAGGGTATGGGCCTGGTGGGTGCGATCGAGGACACCCTGGTTTTGCGACAGACTCGGTACGCCCTGCTTGTGACATAGAAAGGTCGCGCGTTAACTTCTGCCTGCAGTCACCGACTTCGTGTACAGGTGGCCACGTTCGACGGTGCGGACGCGGAGCGTGTAAGTCTAAAGGCAAAAGTCGACGCGTGGCACGCGCACGCGACTCGGGTGAGCGCTGCCTGCGCCAGTGCGCTGGGAGCTGTCGTCGACGACGCAATCGCGTCAGTACCGGATAAAGCGCGGCCCGAAGGCTTTCCTTTTCGAACGAGCGGCGACGACAAAAAGTGCCGCATCCCGCCTCCTCCTCCGGTGCCCAAATGCGACGGGCCGCAGGGAAAGCGCAAGCGAACCCGCGAGACCTCGGAGTTGACGGCGATGACGGAGGAGCTCGATGAAGTGTCGTTGCTTCTACCCTCCGACTACCATAGCGCCGTGCGGCAGCACCCCGCGATGGCTGAAGCGGTCAAGATGGAGCGGCGCTTGCGTGGGGGCGAGGCCAATGAAGCGTTGGAAGATCTTCGGTTGCATCTAACGACGCAGATGAGTCTCGCGGAACGTAAGACGCAAGGCTCCGGCACCATCCACAACGCAGCCATGGACAGGCGAATTCATGGCAAGCGTGACGCTATCGAGCGGGCAAAGTTCGCGTACCGGCGGGCACGCGTCGCCATGATCGTCCTGGGGATGCCCAAGAACGATCCCAAGTATGCAGTCCTCCATGACGCCGACTGCAAAGCCTTCGTCATCGTGGACGAAGAGGTGAGGCGGGGCGATAGCAAGCTAGACCCGACATGGATCTGGGGAGACTTCACCTATATGGGGAAACTCGACGAGGGCAAAATTAAAATCTTCGTGACCAACAGTGAGTCCGGCGGTCGAACCAAGGGTCACACGCTGACCATGACCCTCCGCACAGGTGTTAAGGTCCACTGGCTGCGCCAGAGCGCACTGCTTGCACGATGGAGGGAGGAGGTTAACATGCTGAGGGAGGAGATGTATCGGACAGTGCAATTCTTCGAGTACACGATTAACACATGGACTCGACGCGCCGAGAAGCACGACTTTGCAGGGCGTCAAGGGGCGGCAGCGTACGCCCGTCGGTCAGTGGTCAGCGCTGTTCAATGATGAGGATGAACTGATAATTGAACAGGAAGCGCCATGATTGGGAGCGCCGCCTCGATTATGCTCGTAAACAATTTCCCCAGGAGATATACGAGGTAAGCACACAATTGGTATAGCGCTCCCTGCCTAATTTGTTCTAGCCGCTCGGATTTCCCTCGGTCTCCTTGTAAAGGATGCGGTTGTGGAATGCGGAATGTGGAATGACGTCGGTGCGCAAGGACAGCAAGGACATGGTCGACTGAACTGTGCGTGTTTATTGCTGCTTCATCCGAAGACCGTGTACTGACAGCAGCGAAGATTTTTGTTTCATGTACTGAGCACTGTGGGGCGCAAACAGGATCCTTGAGCACTACGTTGACACGCGAGAACGATCAGGGACATGAACCCTGTTAGCAATGTTGAGATCTAATTTTTCCGATTGGGAATGCGCGTTCTCCAGCCGTCCGCCATCACGCGATGGCGTAGATGGCGGACGGGGTTCTCGACGACAGCATAAGACGGAGCAGGCCTGGGCGAGTCTTCTCGAAGATGGGACGGGTGGAATCTAGGCGTCCGCGCTTCGTATTCGCGGTGCGTGCGTCACCTATACCCTGCTCGAACATGCAACAGTCGTTGATTGACCGCGGACGCTCACAGGACTGGCAGAGACGACAGTCTTTCCGCTTGTCGTCGGGCTGCTGGTACAAAAACGTCCGCCTGACCGCCCAGACAGGGACGGCTGTGTCTCGTTAAACCCGTGCGATCATGAGTCTGCTTGCCTCGCCATTTGGGAGACCGGAGATGGAGTTCAAATAACATAGCTGCCTCCGCGTGATATTGACATACCCATTGTTCCTGAGGTTAGAGACGGGGCAAAACGAGCGTGGACATCCACAGCATGCGGCCGCTGGCCGGGGCCGGACGCGAAGGGGGCGGAACTAAACAGTCGGCCCGCACGCCTAGCGTAAACATGTGGCAGAGGGCCCGACGGGGCTTCCCCTGCCTGTAGTGTGTAGTCATTAACGTGCGGCCGAGCGTGACAGAGAATAACCTATCGTCAGTAAGCACGTAGTGCTGCCTCGAATATGCTGTGTCGCTTACGATATTTCAGTAGGGGCATTGACGCGCGGACGCGCATCTGGGCACATGGGCAGTGCGACCAGAGGGGAGCGGTCGTAGATGGCCGTAGATGGCGGCACTGATATTATACACCAAGATACATAGAAGCAGGAGGTCGTGCGGAGGGATGAAAGCAACAGAGACGCTCCGTGTTGCCGTACGTGCTTGCCTTCGCGGGACTAGACCGCCGACCGATCGTGCTGTGGCCTCTGGAAACGCGCATACAGAGGCGTCGGTCACGAATTGGGCGCAGCCTCGAAGTGAGTGCACTCTCAGTACGCCGCCCGCCGCCCGCCGGGGCCAGCTTCTTGCTATGTCCAGACAATGCCGTACGCGCCTCACGACGCTGCGCTAGCAAGGCCCCTTTTTTCGCCTACAATGGTTTGCTGCCGGGGACCGGACTACACTGATACAAGAGGTGGGGAAGGAGCGTAGTAAGGGTGGAGATGCCGTCGACAACCGGCTAGCGCACCCCACGGCGCGCGTTTGACGTGTACTGAGAAAAATGTGAGCATGCGCTGGCTTTATTAATGAATACTCCATGTGCTTACTCATTGACAGTGTCGCGTACCGTGGCTGGTGTTGACGTCTGCGCGCCGACATTCGTGACAAGTAGTTCTTACCCGAACAGAGGGTGGTAGAAGAACGATCGATTCATTCGATAGCTCATAGGTACGCACAGCAGTCTCAAGGAATGCAAAACGGTACAGAGACTGAACAACGTCCAGTTAGACTACGTAAGTGCGGGGGACGAGAGCCCTACATAGTCACCCCGCGCGACGATGCATGACAGCGGACGAAACATCTATAAGCATTGCTAATGAGCGACATGGAACGGTCGCTGACTGGATGTACGTACGTTCTTTCCCACTACGTTGTGCTCGATGCCACTGTTTTATTCTCCTTCTAGGTCTTGGTACGACGACGGGCGAAGTAGCGGGCGGGATTCCATAGCTTCCGCGCAGGAGCAGTGACGGCCAACGGAGTCGCTTTCGGGACAGCAAGGCGGGCCGTGCCTGTACACGCAATCTTGGTAGATTTGGGCGAATGTTTAGGGCGCAGCGCGCCAGCACTTGGGCCCGATTCATTCCCCATGTGGATTATGCTCGGGCTGCAATGCGGTGAGTGGAAGACGTCAGATCTGAAGAAAGAAGACTCACGGAATAGGTCGCGAAGTGTCGGTAGATCTCGACGGTCACACAGCACGAGTGCAATGGCGCACTGGGGAGGTAGTAACGCGGGCCAGAGGAGCGGAGCGGGCGCGAGCGCGTGGCGAGTTGCCAGGGCGAGGGGAAGCGTGAGTCGAGCGAGGGCGAGTGTGCAGAGCGAAGGGAAGGGAAGAGAGAGGAGGGTGAGGGCGAGGGCGAGGGGGAATCACGCAAGGGTATGGGAGAGGTGCAAGAAGGGCGCGACGTACCAAAGCCCGTGGTAGGCGGGGCAGAATGAGCGGTACACGCGAGGGCGAGCTGCGAGTTGCGGGGCCGAGGGAAGACGGGGCGGTTTGAGCGAGGATGATGGCGAGGGCGAGGGCGAGGGCGAGGGCGGGGCCGAGGGCGAAGGTGGGGCCGAGGGCGAAGGCGGGTGAGGTCGGGGTGGAGTGAGGGCGAGCGCGCAAGCGAAGGCGAGGGCGAACGCGGGGGCGAACGCGAGTGAGGGCGAGAGCGAGGGACAGTAACGGCGAGGGTGAGGGCGAGTGGTGCGCGGGCGAGAGTGAAGAGTGCGAGGGCGAGGGCAAGGTCGAGGTCGAGGGCGAAGGCGAGTGAGAGAGCGAGGGACAGTGAGGGCGAGGGTGAGGGCGAGTGGTGCGCGGGCGAGGATGAGCGGCGGGAGGACGAGTCGCGAATACGCGCTGCAGTACTCAGTGCGAGGTCCGACGACGTAAAGTGCGAGGCGCAAAGACGTACAGTGTGAACTTCGAGAATGCGCAGGAGTTACGATGACGCGAACGAGGTTGGAGGAGGGAGGAGGTCGCGGTGTAAGTACGCGCCGACGTTGGGGAGGGCGGGATCGTTGACAACCGCGGGAAACCGCCTCTGCTAGCCTCAAATTCTCAGCGACGCGAGCTACTACACGGTGCGTGGGGTGTTGGCATCGACCTGCGCAAGTTCTGACTTTCGCGGTCGCATAGGCGGAATATTGTGATATGTTTTAAACCAGGCGCGCCTTCACTGGTGAGAACTGATCACACTGAGTCTCTACAGGACATTTTGTTACTGATCATCGCAAGGTATGAAGCCGTTGTTGTTTTGTAATACGAAGACGTTTTGCAAAACGCCGCATTCTGTGCTGGCGATTTGCGAAACGGCGCGGGGTTTGCAACACGGGGTAGGTACTAATACTGGCCACGGCGCGGTGAAATAACCCATATAGCCAGTCAACAAGCACCCTATACATAGCTAACTTGGCGTAGTGGTCTAGAGCGCTGCGAAGTGTGACATCCGGTGTGGCCTCTCGTTCGAACCCCCAGCTCGCCTTTTACTGAGAGCGTTTTCGATATATTCATTTTTTGACGGATTTTTGCGGCACTGAACGGGCACTCCCCTGGTGTGGAAAGCGCATGGCTTTGTACGTGTGATGAATGCATTATATAATGGATATCACGACAGCCCTGTGCTACGCCGGTGTTTTGCAATACATAGTTGGGATAATATCCCGGGTGTTTTGCAACCAGGAGTGTGGACTCTACGTCTGTGCACATGTGAGCATTCAAAACACCAGGTCGCTAGTGCTAGAAAGTTTGGTATGCCTCTGGTTGTCCCGTACCTACGCAGAGGCACTGCAACGTTGCGAAGACAAGCAAAATACGACGGAGTCGCGCGCGATACTGAACGCCCCGGCAAACGCCGGCCAGCAAGCGCCTGCCGGCTCAGAAACTCGTCGAACAGCAAACGGAGTATGATCATCGTTAGGAACAGGTCATACATTGTCACAATCGGACAGGATAGAACAGTGCACCAGGCGGGATACAACGTAACGAGGCGACAGCGAACAACATGGAGTACAACGTCCGAGGGGGATTATATGAAACGAGGCGGTGCGCGAGGCGCGAGAAATCATGTCACGGAAATAGCGAGGAGAGTGAATGCATAGAGGAGCCAGCCGATCCGAGAGCGCGAACGAGAACGAGAATGAAGACGAGAAACCAAAACTGCAACTCAACCCAACCGAAGCGCATGCGTCACCGTGGGGGCACTTCCACGGGCCCTCGCTTGCAAGGACCCGCGGACACATCCCCCGCCAGCTACGCACGCGCGCCCTTCTCCCGTCTATCAGCTGCATAGTGTCCTTCGAGGTGAGTCGCACGCCAAAACGCGCGTCCAGTGTCGGTGACTGGAGGCGCGGTGGGGGCGCGCGACCCGAAGACCGCTATGAAGCTGGTCGGCGCGATGCGCGGGTGCCTGAGGAGGTGCGTCAGCGTGGGGCGCGATGGCGCGAGTAGGATGTGCGCCCGCCATCGGCAGTGCATGTCGAGAAGGGGGGAACTGAGCGTGATAAGGACGAAGACGCACCGTGGCCTAGGCCTTGGGCGCCTTGCGGCGCGGCGAACCTTCGTTGGTGTGATCCGACTGAAAGTGCCGCTTTAAGTCGTGCTTGCGGCTGAACGCCCTGGTGCAGCCGGGCGCGAGGCACGCAAATGGGCGTTTCTGGTGGTGCACGGAGCTGATATGCTTGTCGAGATTGTTGCGTCGCGCCCACACTGTAGAGTGACGTCGCTCAGTATAGGCGAAACGACGGCGGAGAGGGACGCACAGCTACCGCACTCCGGGCAGACGAGGGTTTTCTCCGTGCTCTGCCGCTTGCGCTTCTTCGCAGGCTTCTCGCCGTCCACGCTAGACGCGCGTTTCGGGGAAGTGGTGGACGCACTCGGAGTAGCGCTCTCGGGGGCGACCTCGGGACACGTCTCCGGGACGTCGACGATGTGCTGGGAGGTCAGCGGGGCGACATAGTCGCCCGCTGGCATGCTCATTCCGCACCAGGCAGAAGCAGCAGCACCTGATAGGTGCTGCTGCTGCTGCTGCGGCTGCACATAGGTGTCGGCACCCATGTCGCAACGGGATGAGAACGCCCACGGGTCGCTTTCGATAGGCGGCATGAGGCCAGAAGGAACGCTGTACGTCACCGGGAAAGGGCCCTGCTTGAAGGCTCCCATGGGGCAGCCGTAGGGCTCGGCAGCGGGGGGGTTGGAGGGTTGCCCGTTGCAGGCGAAGTCCTCGATGGTGTCGGACTTGGGCGAAAAGCGGTAAGTGGGATCGATGGCAGTATCGTCGGATGCCATGGAGAGTGGGGAGGCCGGGATGGTGGAGTCGTCAGAATAGACGCTTGACGGCGCCTGAGCGGGGGACTGCGGTAGGTTGATCCAATTTGTCCACTCGGGATCGTAGACGTCTGGGAGGGGGACGGCGGCGTCGATATGCTCCAGCGCGTTGTCCAAGCCGGCACGGTCAATGTCGAAGTCGAAGTCGGCGACACTGGAGGTGGGTTGATTGCGGGCGTATCCGGCGTCGGGCTGAGGGTCGGGTACAACTTCGGGGGTGCTCATAAGCTTGAGCCAGTGCTCTAATTGCTCGAGGGTCTGGTTGTCGAGGGAGTTAAGGTCAGAGTAGTCCATGAGTGCTCAGTGGTGACTGTTGAGGAGAGTGTTGGTGTGGTGGAGGTGAGAGGGAGAGAGAGGTGAGCAGACACAGGTGGGGTGTGTGGGTATTTGACCGTCCGATTAGTCGACTGCGGTGCTCGTGCACAAGGACTTCCCTTCCCAGGTACAGCAACGTCTTCTGCCGTCTGCCATGCCGGTTCCCCCTTACGTACATATGCCCCATTCCAGACTATGAGAGACCTGCCTCAAATGTCGGTCAGTCATCGCATCTAGGACATGATCACCGCCACAAAAGAGTTACCATGCATTTTCGTGGTCAAGAGGGTATAAACACCGTCAGGGAGATAGAGCGCACCGGGGGAAGGTTGATTTGAGAAGTTGAGACGGTCACCGTCTCGAACTGCTTCGTAGAAACTAATGTGAGTATTACAGTAAGGAAACGATAAGTACTTGGCACATTACTACAAATTGACTACAAGTCATTATTCGGCGCCGACTTGTTCAAGTCCGGTAGGCCGACGATCATTGCGGGGGCGTAGGGCGTCTAAGTGTAAACACTCCTTGCCCCAGACATTCATCTCGCTCGAGCAGCCCAGCTAGGGATGTATAAAAATCCCAAAGTCACACCTTTGCGATCACGGACATGAAGACTTCAACGATGCGGGCTGTCGTCGCTATCCCGTTGATGATCTTACGGCTGAACATACACTAAGTCCGACCTCTCGATGGCGACCTCGCTTGGACTTGTACTGTCGCGGAGGTATGTCAACTCTTGAGAATCTAAAACTCACGAAGGCTCTGTAAAACATGTTAGTTGCCACATTATGTCTCATGATTTTCATTCATGCTCACACGACGTCCCATCTCTTTAAAAAAAAGGCCCCCTCGGCCTCGACAGCCGATCATGACTTCTGCTGCACACAGACAAGGGTTGCGCCCTACTAGCAGACCGGGAAACGGACTGCACCGGACCAGGAGAGTTACTGAAGTTTGAACGGCCACAACGCTACCTAAATATGTGACTATATGCGCCAAATCAACTGCCCAACTACTGTGAGTACTTTTCGAAATGATGCCCTTGTGAATGCTCAGAGCTGTCTGTCAGCTGCAAGGTGTTTCTAGATATGCTGTTTCCTCATACTTAGACTCATATGCTTGCGGAATTCGGTAAGGGCATCGCATGCAGTTGCTCCTCGCAATTCCGTTTGGGCAGCAGTGAGAGAGTCAGTTGCAACCCATATCCGCTCAATATAAAGGGCCTCCTTCCCCCCGAACACGGCCGTATGGACGGTCATCGACCCTTTCAAACCTTCAGTAACAACTTCCAGGGCAACCATAATGCTCTGGCACCTCGGGTACGTGATGTTGTATGGTCGAGGGGTAATGCATCGGAGTTCGGACTGATCGCAACATTTGTCTTTAGTCTCGTCCACTCAGCGAACGCCATCGCGAGCGCAACCTCCTCCGTTACCAACTCCAACTCCGGAAATGCCTACACGGAACCAGTGTCAACATCTTCTTGATTCTGTGGCGAGATAGACCCAACAACCTAGGCTTGACAGTCAGCCTTCATCATGCCCGTTGCACAACAATGCACTTCCGCCCTTCTCGTCTCATTCAAGTTGAGCAAAGTCCACAACGAGGCTAATGGGACATCCGAAAAACAAAATGGCACCTTTAGGTGATATCAAGCTTATACTCGCATTGCCTGCCTCACATGTGCTGAACTTCTAGCTCTTCATATTCCATAGGCGCCCGAAGCTCCGAAGGCGACAATCGTCAGAAACGGGCCTTAGCGCATGGAACGAGGGATTATATTTCCCTGCGTTGCGTCTACTCCTGTCTTCCCATCCCCGCTTCCTCTTCTCGTGAAGAAATTGAAACAGCTGCGGCAGCCTTGCGGAGGCCCAAGTCAAGGCTGGCGTCAAGTTGGCGCCTCCGAGCGGCCATTGGGGTGCGTCTTGTCACCACGACATGCATATATGTATATACTCTCATCTCACCTCTCAGTTTGAGCAGCTTTTTCTGGATAGAATATCCATGAAAACGACTGCGATCCGGCGTTGAACCAGTTTCCGAAGGCAGGGTGAGCGAGTTGCGCGACTCGGACTCGTGCCGGACCTTCCGATTGGCGCTTCGCGAAAACGCCTCACTCGGACCGGACCGATCGAGGAGTGCAGAATTTTGGGACACTCAGTGCAGTCATCCTCAAGTGAAACTAGAAAACTGCATCCCAGAACTATCCAAGTTTGATCCAAGTAGAGGTAAGCTGGTATCCTTTGGAAGGCGTGTCGAAGATCATTATGATTAACGAGCGTCATGTCTTCAGGCACCAAGGGGCGCTCGAAGTCACTCGGTGGCTTCCGAGCATCATTCATGTCCACGGTCAACTGACCGCTTCGCATACCGCGTACGGACTGCGGGCGCCCGAGGGCAGCTGACCCGAGTCACTGCACCCACGAAACTCAATATTTATAGTGAGCAATGACTGGCCCCGACGCCAGTGCGAGACGCGCTGCTCGCCTTCCTCCTGTCTGCGACGCCTGCTGCACCATGTCCCTCGAGAAGCACGCGTCCTCTTTCGACGAGAAGGCACCCGGCAGGGACCCCGATGTCGTCAAATCCGAGTCGGTCTCGATGGCGGTGGAGGAGCGGAGGCTGGTGAGGAAAATCGACTGGCGCATCATGCCCATCGCAGAGCCGTCTACATTTTGTTTTGCAAAACACGTGGGGTAATAGCCCAACGGCGGTTTGCAAAACACTGGGTTATCAATGTGGCTGTGTTATAAGCGCCCGTTTAAATGCGTCTTAAAAGGGAGCAAAATTCACGCCTTCAGGAAAAGTGGCAAGCAACAGATTTGAACCTGGAGGTTCAATAGATACATCACTTTCTCTACGGTAAATACCACTACAGCAAAGGAGCATTACAACTGGCTCAAGCTCAGGGAATATATGGTGCGCTCCAACACCTTTCTACTCGTGCACAATACCTCAAGTTTGCTGTCCTGGACTCAACAATGCGACCGGAAGCTATGTAATATTGATTCCTGAGCCATTTTGGATGCCTAAATTGCAGGATAATATGTGCTGAAGGCTCAGCAGGGGACCTATTGGTATGAACTAGGCGCCTGCTTAAGTGGGTGGTTGCGAACTTAGAACGTTGATGTCTTCAGGAGGGTAGTTGAAATAGGGATGTATTGATATGCACATGTGCCCTTGTAAGTCTTCTATGGTGTAGTGGTTGAAGCTGCTGTTTGGGCCACTTCATAAGTGGGTGAGCATTGAGGTTCAATACCTTGTTTGGGCTTTTTTTTCCTTTGTCACATTTAATATTTGGTGGGCCGGTCAGCGTTGCAACCCTTCGTAACTACCTTACGTAGCATTTGATGTACATCCAATACATTCCGGGGGTGTGTTTTCAGGTGAGCAGGTAGGTAGTGCTACCCCAATGTTTTGCAAAACTCAGGTGGGTTAATAGCCCAACGGTTTTGCAAAACAGAGTGTGGACTCTACCATCGCATGCATCATGTATCTCTTTGCTTGTGAGTTCTTGTGTACCTTTACTTTGAAAAGAGTGTTCATTGATACATCTGCGCGTCAGTCTTGGACCGGTCGAACCTCGGGAACGCACGTCTGCAAGGGCTACCGCAGGACACCCTACACGGCGACCCGACGGGCGTGCAGTTCGACTGGGTAAACTCAGTGTTTTTCTTCTCATACGTGAGTGTAATTGCAATCGAAGACTCTGTCATTTTCTTAGGCTAGCTTTGCCACAGATCATCTGTCAAGTTCCAGCGACGCTCTTGTCCAAGTTATGCCCGCCGCGCATCTGGCTCGGGTGTGCGACGGTGGGGTGGGGATTGTGCTCGGTGCTCATGGTGCGCATACGCCCCTATCCGCAGCGATGAACTCACCGATGACGGAACGTAATCCGCGCGCAGTCCACGGCGTTCAACTTCCCTGGTCTGCTTGTCGCTCGCATCGGGCTCGGCGTCTTCGAGGCCGGGTTTGGACCCGGTATTCCCCTTTACATGTGTACGTTACGCGGCGACGGTCTCACGCTATCGTCCCCCGGGCCCGCGCTGGTATTGACTCTCGATGACAGCGTTCTTTTACACGAAAGAGGAGATGGGTATGCGCATGGCGTACTGGTTCGGGTTCGCCGCGGTAGCCGGCGCGTTCGGCGGTCTTATCGCGTTCGGTGTGCAAAACGTGCACGCGGCGGTGGCGAACTGGAAGCTGCTGTTCATTATCGAAGGTCTCCCGACGGTGCTCATCGGGGTGCTGGCTATGGTGGTGCTGCCGAACAGGCCCGAAGAGACGACCATGTTCAACGAGAAGGAGCGTGAGATCGCTCTGGAGCGTATGAACCGCGGCATCAAAGCGGACACCGGGAGGACTGTAACAAAAGGTGAGTATGTGCGCTTGCAGGGCTCTACAGGATGATGAACATGCTTACTGATAATTTTCTGACAGCCCACATCTACGCGGCGTTCAAGGACTGGAGGGTTCGTCGTGCGTCTAACGGTCATGAGCCTACGCCACTAACGCTCGGATCAGATTTACGCGGCAGGTGTCTTGTACTTTGGGGCCAATTGTGCCCTTGCGTCTATATCTGCATTCTTGCCCACTATCATCACCACATTCGGATTCAGTCAGTACGCACCTACTCCTCTCCGTGCGCTATACTGAAATTTCTTGCACTGGTAGCGAATGCACGCGCGCAGCTGCTCACCGTGCCGCCATACGCCGTCTCTGCGGTGTACCTGTGCTTGAACTCCTACGTGTCGGACCGGCTGCAAAGCCGCGGGATCTTCGTTGCGGCAGCCAGCGCGCTGGCCGGCATAGGCTACGTGTATGTGACACTGATTTGCACGTTGGCAACAACTCGACTGACCAGCCTCGCATACAATACAGGCTGTTGCTCACAGTGGCCGAGAACAACCATGTCCGCTACTTTGCGACGTTCTGCATCACGAGCGGGACCTACACAACGATCGGGATCATCATCGCCTGGTGTACGCAGTATCTTGTTCTCTGTGGAAACACGCCATCTGATACCGATCTCTCCTGACCCCACAGTCGCCCACAACCTCGGATCTGAGACTAAGAAGGCGACCGGAATCCCGATGTATATGGCTATTGGCCAGTGTGGTAGCGTGTTGGGGTCACATATCTACCCGAAAACGGACGGTCCGCGGTATATGTGAGTGGCAATGATCTTGACCCTGCGATGAGTGTATGCTGATCCAAGTATGCCATGTCCTACAGCAAAGGCTTCGCTGTGACTTGCGCATTGCAATTTGTTGCAGCGCTCGCGGCGGTTATCCTTACGGTATATCCCTTGGCAATTGTCTTCTGCGAATTGGGCATTTACGAAGGGCACATGATAGGTATCCTACCGCATGGAGAACAAGCGGAGAGACCGGAAGCACGGCAAAGCCGTACGAGATGCTCCGGTGGACACGTCGGAGCTGGCGGACAAGGTGTGTAGCATCGACGGCCGGCTTCTACTTCAAACCTCACGCATTTATGCAGGCCCCGCTCTTCCGTTACGTCCCGTGATGAGATGTCCATGAAGGTGTTGAGCAAACGCAATTTGAAACGAAGTTTTTGTTGTCTATGTACGAAATCCATGATTTGCGATGACTGATGAGGGAGTCTATAACAGGACGTGAGACTCTGAGCGTATTCGACTATTTCGGGACTGCGGAGTGTATGCGCGCCAGAATTGGGGCTCCAGGTCTTACCGCAGCAAGGGGTTCTCAAGGGGTTCTGCCGGACCGCATTGCACCCAAAGGTTCCATAACATCGGCCAGGCCCGCAGAGAGGTATACCTGACAAGTTCTGTTGCCAGTCTGATGGAGAATACCTGCTCCTCCCAGAAGCTCCAGGTGAGTGGTATTCGGTAATCAAAGATGCAGCTCGGCGATCTAATATGCCTACGGCGTAGTACTTACGATGTACCACATCGACAGCTGTTCGTTGACAGTGAATCCAAACGTTACAGACTTCTGTATACTATATATAACGTTCACAGTTCTCAGGTTAGTACCTCCCCCTTATGCCCACAATTCACGAAGCGCTTTCAGTGGTTGACGCGCACATTCCGACAATTTAACAGGGGCTTCAGTGCGTGGCAATGCTTGCCGGCTGCGTTGTGTCGCACCCTCGGTTCATGTACCGCCCGAATGTCATTGTGGGAAGAGGGTAGATCAAAGTACGTCTGGTCGCACACATGCCAAACGGGTTTTCAAAAGCCGAGGCACAGGATGCGTTCATCGGACTGTTTTTAGAGGCATTGAATGCTAGCGACTTAACGGATTCGCGAGTCATAGCTTGTTCCGCTCACTGTTGGTTATATCCTCCCACTCATTCGATCAGCTCTCGGAGACATTATAGGATGCTGCCAGAGTAGTGACTCGTCATACCTGAAGCAAATCCCCGAAGGCCTCGACGAAAAGTCTGTACGGGCATACAAGCAAAACTCACACACGGCGTCGTCTTTTTAGGTTCCAAGGGGTGTTCGAAGCCGTTCTTCGGTGGCTTCCGCACGTCATTTATGGCCGCAGTCAACTGACCACCCCTCGTACCGTGTAGGGACAACGGGCTTCCGTGCAGCTGACCCAAGTGAATGCACCAATGGAGCACAATATTTATAGCGAGCAATGACTATGCTCAGCGTCGCAGAACGCGCTCTGCTCACCTTCGCCTTCCCTCTACTGTCCGCGCCATGTCCGCAGAGAAGCATACGTCGTCTTTCGACGAGAAGGCATCTGGCGTTGATGTCGATGTCGTTCAACCCGACTCGGTCTCACTCGCAATTGAGGAGCGCAGGCTGGTGCGGAAGATCGACTGGCGTATCATACCCATTGCCTGTGCGGTATATCTGTTTGCTTGTAAGTACGCTTTTTATCCTGTGTGAATAGTGCAGCTACACATATATCCGCGGGTTAGTCTTGGACAGGTCGAATCTGGGAAACGCACGCCTGCAGGGGCTGCCACAGGACACCTTGCACGGTGACCCCACCGGCGTGCTGTTCGACTGGGTGAACTCGGCATTTTTCTTCTCATACGTGAGCATTGAAACCGCTCGAATAATCTGCCGTCTCTGAGTTATCATACAGATCATTTGTCAAGTACCGGCGACGCTCCTCGCTAAGCTGTGCCCGCCGCGCATCTGGCTCGGGTGCGCGGTCGTGGGATGGGGAATGTGCTCCGCGCTCATGGTGAGCTCACCGTTCGCGGTCACGATAAACGAACCGCTGACTGAAGTTCCGCACTTAGTCCACCGCATTCAATTTCCCTGGCCTGATGGTCGCCCGCATCGGGCTCGGCGCCTTCGAGGCGTGCTTCGCACCTGGCATCCCCCTCTACTTGTGTACGTATCGCAACAGCGCTCGTCTCACGCTGTTGTCTGACCGCCGCTTGCTGTGGCAGCGTACTTCTACACAAAAGAGGAGATAGGCAAACGCCTCGCCTTCTGGTTTGGGTTCGCCGCGGTGGCAGGCGCGTTCGGCGGTCTTATCGCGTTTGGCATTCAGAACGTGCATGCTGCGATCGCCAACTGGAGGCTGCTGTTTATCATCGAAGGCGTCCCGACGGTGCTCTTCGGTCTCTTGGCGATGATCATCCTGCCGAATCGACCCGAAGAGACGTCCATGTTTAATGAGAAGGAGCGGGAGATCGCTCTGGAACGGATGAACCGCGGTTACAAAGCTGACGTGGGGAGGCACATTGCCAAATGTAAGTACGCATATGTGCTGCCGGTGTGCACCGTACTGAATTCGTACTTGCAGCTCACATCTACGCGGCGTTCAAAGACTGGAGGGTACGTCGGGGTTCTATGCCGGTCCAAGAATCTTCGTCACTGACGCATGTACTATCAGGTATACACCGGCGGGGTTTTGTATTTTGGAGTTAACTGCGCCGTTGCGTCAATAACTGCCTTCCTTCCTACCATCATCACGACATTTGGAGTCAGTGAGTACCTGACTAGTTTTATTCAGGTGCTCTGTTGAAGTGAACACATCAATAGCAAATGCACGCGCACAGCTACTCACTGTGCCGCCGTACGCTGTTGCTGTTGTGGTCCTGTGTATTACTGCATACTTTTCGGACCGACAACAGAGCCGCGGAGTCTTCATCGCAGCCGCTAGCACCCTAGCTGGCATTGGATATGTGTTTGTGCTCTCTATTAGCTTCGTTACTCGCCACTGAACGCTCGTGCGCAAAACAGGCTTCTGCTCACTGTTAGCGAGAATATTCACGTCCGCTACTTCGCGACATTCTGCATCACGAGCGGGACATACACGTCGATCGGGGTGACTATTGCTTGGTGTACGTCTTAAGACCCTAACATCATAGCAGCTCGTCATCTGATGTTAACGTTCCTTGTTCCACAGTCGCCCATAATCTCGGATCGGAGACAAAGCAAGCAACGGGCACCCCAATCTACCAGGCGATCGGCCAGTGCGGTAGCGTGCTGGGGTCGCATATCTTCCCAGCAACAGAGGGTCCTCAATACATGTAAGACACGGCCAGTCTAGGTGAAATGTGCGTACTGATGTGAGGCATGCCTTGCGTTTCAGCAAAGGCTTCGCAGTGAGTTGTGCGTTGCAGTTCCTTGGAGCACTTGCTGCGGTCATCCTCACGGTAAGCCCTTCGGCTACAACCGCTGTCTTAGTAGTTTCGACACATATTCACTGTGTGTGTAAGATATCCTACCGCAATGACAACAAGCGAAGGGATGAAAAATACGGCGAACCCGCGCAAGATGAGCCAGTGGACACGTCAGAGCTGGCGGACAAGGTGCGTAACGTTCACTGCCTCCCTCCTTTTGGACGCTCATGCGTTATACATATGCAGGCCCCGGGGTTTCGGTATGTTCCCTGATGATCTTGCCGTAAACGACCACCATACGAGTTCGATGCCTGGGAACGACTACGCCGGGAGGAGAACGGATCGAGCGTGGATATGAGTTCTGTATTTGGACTGTAGCTCTGGATGGATTCTGAAGAGGTAGAATGTAAGAGGATAACAAAGCTGCGAACGGAATTTTTACGGCTCGCCTACGATGTCGCCGAAGAGACCTTCTCGAGGAAATGTACGACGCCTTCTGGCGACTCTGGTCTCCGTCGAACAATAGACTCTAAATACGGCCTCCGAGGATCAGTACTCTTCGCACGTTGCTGACGACGAGCCTTTCCATTGTGCCAGAACAAGAGAGCAGTGCTGGGGATTCGACGTCGCGAAGCAGATGGACATCGTCGTCACCTGCAGCGAGCTCGATGCCGCGTAAATTCCCACCATTTAATTGAGAGCTCGGTTACGTAAGCAAATATACCTTGATCACTTTTTCTCTTGCGGCTTGTCCGACGACGTTCATCTCGACTTCCCCGTTGTGTACGGCAGCGACGGCCACCCCGAGGCATATACCATCATCGGCACCTGCGAGGACTAGAGGTCTCCCTGCTCTTTCTCTGCTTCTCTACGGACCACCATGTCTGAGTACAACACGCCGCCTCCGGAAGCGCGCCCGCAGCCGCACCCCTACCTGCACGAGCCGCTGCTATACATCTCGGGATTGCCACCATACGTGAGAGACGAAGACCTCGCAGTCGCGTTCCAGACCTGCGCGCCGTTCCGGCCCAACATCCTGCGCGACGGCTCGAACAAGCCTCTGTCGGGGACGATCGAATTCAAGTATCTGGAGAAAGGTGCGTCTGCTCTCCTTCGTTTCTGCGTTTCGGGGCGTAAGAGGGAACAGATTGAGTCGTTGCTACCGTGGAGGTAACGTGGGCCGGCTGGGAGGCGGAGTCCGACGCCATGAGAGCGAGTTCCTGTTTGGTCGGTTGCCTGCACGGAGGGCGCACGGCTGAAGCGTACCGTCGGGCTTCATCGGTCAGATCGATACCGCACTCCATCACCACAATTCCGGAGACATATGCTCCATCTACTGTGCCTGCTACACCCGATCGTGGCCGAAGATAGTACGTCGCGTCGGCGTGAGGCACGATATGCGGGCAGGATGGTTTCACTGTTTTCTGCGAAACGAACGTGGTAACGGCAGGCTATACTGGCTTCAAGGTTGCCCCATTTAGGGCTGGACGCGTATCCGTGCATCATTCCACCGATTTTGAACGACAGTACTCCTCCACGCCACTTCCGAGCTGTTATATTTTCGGCGCTTGCGACTCCGCTCCCAGAAGCACACATCCTGTGTATACTATTATAGCCAGCTATTTGCTTGCTCGACATGCTCTCTTCTTTGGTGTGCACATTTGCGCAGATTGCTAATTTTTTTTTACTAACAGCGGAGAAGGCCCTTGCAACGTTGCAAGGCCGGCACATTCCGAACCTGCTGCAACCCGCACTGCTCACGTTGTCGCCATATCCCTCTACAACACCTCCAACGCCCCTCCCGCCACCATCTGCGTCGCCTCGTCTTGTGAAGCAGCTTCCTCCTGGCTACACCGACTCGCAGCTCTACGATCTCTTCCGTTCGTTCGGTGCTCTCGCCTCCGTACGAACTCAGTCACCCTTCGGACCGGACACTGGTGTGGTCGAGTTCTGGAGGGAAGAAGATGCGCGCGAAGCAGAGGAGGCGATGCACTGCGCGGATGTCGAGGGCCAGAACATCGTCGTGCAAATATACCAGCCGCGTCGCGCCGGCGCCGCGATGAGCGAGTTCAGCCCGAACGCACCGTCGTTCGTTCCCACTGGCTCGGTATTCCCGTACCCTGCCCAGGTGCGTTCACCCAAATTCGTGCGTGTGGTCAGATTTGGAACCCTATCCTCGCAGTACTCACCTCCGCGGCAATCGCCTTACCCTTCGCGCCCCTTGTTCTTGCATGGCCCCGGACAGCAGGTTCAACTAGCGCCTTTATCTGGTCCAGGATCCACGAGCCATAGTGGACTCATCGACCCTTGCAACCTGTTCATCAAAGTGAGCACTCGAGAACAACTTTCAATAGTGGATTGAGCGCTTACCATAGTACAGAATCTCGATACCTCCATCGACTCGAACGGTCTGTTCTCTCATTTCCGTCAGGTGAGTTGCTCGAATAATGCGGAAAACTCAATGCTCAACGTGGCGGGCGATAGTTCGGGCAAATTGTCAGGTAAAGCACACAAGCAAGCTCTTGTGCCCCAAAGTCAGTCACTGAGTCGGTTTAGCGCTCGCGTCATGCGGAACGAAGGAGGCGAAAGTCGTGGGTTTGGTTTCGTCTCGTACCAAACGCCCGATCAAGGTATTAGAGCGGAACTCCGAGTGTTCCGCGTCCATTACTGACCAGCCATGAAGCTGCCGCTGCTCTGAACCAGATGAATGGTGTCGTGATTGGGACGAAGTCTCTCGTGGTACGCCTACACGAGCCCAAGCAGCTCCGCCAAGAAAAGCTTGCCCAGCGGTTCGGCGGGCACAACGGCCACCCTCGTAGCAGCAGCGGCGCAACGAGCCCTACCGCCAGCGAGGCGGGCGAGAGCTACGCTGGATGGCCGAGTCCGAGCAGCCATCCCGCCGTGCTTGGCTCTCCTACTATGGGTGGCCACCACGAACGTCACGAGCGGCCCGACAGAGCGCGCCGTAGCTCTGGGAGCTTCTTCCATGTACGTTCAGACTTATCGACGATTTGTATATGTGCTCACGCAGCATGTAGGCTGCACTCGCGGGTACGCTCAACCTGCCTATGCGTTACGACGATCTTTCTGCGCTCTCTCCCGTTGTTCGCAAGGAGGTGCTCACGGGCGAGCTGAGTAGGCGGATCAAGAGCATGGATGTCGTGCGCTCCGAGGAGCTCGACACGGTCGTTCAGTCGATCGTGGCGCTTTCGCTCAGTGAGGTCGTGCAGGGCATCCAAGATCCTAGCAAACTCTCGGAGCAGATCCAGGCTGCTAAGAAGTCGCTTAACCCCGCGAAAGCATCCAAATCACCATCGCCTTCGCCTGCAGGTTCTCAAGACTCTCGGCTTCTCGATGCATCAGCTCCCAACGCGACTGCTTCTGCGCCGGATCACCCCTCGACGCCGCTTTCGATGCCTGCTACCCTGTCTACCCCACCGCGGACCGAGTCGCCATCCGGTTCGCTTGCTCCCCAGTCCGAGAAGGACCGGATGTTCGCCGCAGTCAGCAAGCTCGAGTCGGCTCAGATCGCAGAGCTCACGGAGCTGCTTATGTCGCTGCCCAAGCGTGAGCGCGCAATGTGCCTTTTCAATGTCGAGGTGCTCCGCGCCAAGATCGCAGACGCGAAGCTTGTGCTAGAGGTCGAGGACGAAGAGGAGCAGACCCCGGCCATCTCGACCGTACCCGTGCCACAAACGCCGCAGGCACGCAAGGTTTCGGCGGCCTCGTTTGACTCCCCGCAGACGCCCGACCTGTCGTCGCGCGGCCCGAGCGTCGCTGCGAGCCCAACTCCCGCGACGCCCAGCGCACCCTCTTCGGCGGCGCAGGTGTACACAATCGCGTCCCTCGCGCGTTTGCCTGCGTCGGAGATTATCCGTCTAGTCAACACGTCCTCGGTCACTGGCCTTCCGCTTCCGAAGGCGGACCCAATGGTCGTGAAGGCGACGGACGAGTTCATCGACAGTTTGCGCGACAAGCCCGTCAACCAGCAGAAGCAGCAGCTGGGTGACAAGCTGTGCGTCATTCATTGTAACACTGTTGTTTGTTCGTGTGCTGACGTCTCTTGTAGTTGGCGTGTCGTGAAGGCATTCGGTATCAAGGGAGCAGTAAGTATTCTGCTTATAGCTGGTGATTTGATAATTGTTGCTGACGTCCGCCGACAGCCCAAGATCACCATTGCACTCCTTGACCAAGACGATCTCCGTCCCCTCGCCCACCTGATGAACAGCTACCCATCCGTGCTCAAGGAGAAGGCGCTCCTTGTGCAGGCCGCTCAAACGAAATAATGACCCAATACCTCCGAATGTTGCTCCCGTTGTCACTACCCGCACGTTGCTTCTATCTCCGCCCGCGCCCCTAATATCCCCATCTCTCGTTGCTCTGTCTTGCTTCCCCTTGGGCCCGTACCTCCAGGATCACATACCTCGCAAAGGAGGAGGATCCGATACGTCTCTTTTCACAATCCCTGGACCCGTCATTCCCGCCGTCCCGGAGGTCGCCGTCTATACCGCCCCACAGTTACTGTCTCTCTCGCGGAAGGTCGCACTGGTTATATACCAAGGCTCGTCCCCATCCCCGTCTCCCTCTCCATCCCACATTGTTTGCTCCTGCTGTCCACGCGCGCCGTCCGCTGCGCCCACACCTACCATCATTGCTCGTGTTCCACACTCTTCCTATACACATTGACGTCTACATCTTGTTACGACTTTTGACGACCGTTCCGGTTCACTATCTTGTTCTACGCCCCCGTACTTACACCCGTACTAACAGCGCCCGCGACGCCGAATGATCAATACCGATCGTTGTTGGGTCCTTGCGCTGCGAGCGAGAGCTGTATACTGCCTCCCGGATGTAGGTGGGTGTTTGGTTCATCCTCTCAGCGTTCATTGCGGTGCGCACGTCCTCCTAAGAGTGGTGCGTCTCTATCACATCTGGCTATAGATATCGGGTACGTTATATATCATGTTACTAGGCCGGAGGTAAGCAATGTCAGGATCTGCCAAAGTTCATCTCCCTAATTGTAAACTATCTACCAGGGCAATGTCTTTTGATCATATTATGCGCTCAGGGACTGACGATATATTCGAGAGGCTCTCGGTTTCCTAGATGCGCTAGCCCAAACTCTCGTATTCAAGTGGCCAACCTTGTATGCTCGCAGCTGCGCACAAGCTGTCCACTGCTCGACCCTGTGCACCTCACCGCGCCTTCCGTCTGTATGACCGCCTGCTATCCCTCTATTGGACACCATCCGCGGGGCTCGCTACCACCAAACTTGAAGGCGAACTTAACTCAAAAATAACGGGGTTCGTTCGAGATGTCGACCCATTGAATGCTATGGCGAAACACATGGTGAGTTACCCGGTCTGTTAATGTGCCGTGTTAATGCAGAACGTACAATGGCGAACAACAAGGAAGGTGTCATGTTCGAGCTATTTTCAGCCTTGAAACGCTGCCATAGAATAACGAAGTAGCACGGTGGCTCTCGTTCCTTACCTCTATGCGCTGCGCCCAGACGAAGTGAAGCCCAGGCTCACTTAGAAACATCAGGAGGTGAGGACGGCGTTCCGTCCAATCCACCCCGTGGCCGAACCTTGCGTCGAACGTGAAACCTGAGTTCCTGGGCCCTGAAACGAAGCAACCCTCGAAGCCAGAGAGGAGTGCAGCCGAAACCTTTCTCGCGTCGCAAGTGTCGGAGCATTACGGATAGTAAGTGCTTGCGCATCGAGCATCTGTCTATTGATTTTTAGTGTGACATCCTGTAGGACTTACTTCTCATCGCCCTCAAAGATAGTGACGGTGGATAAGCTCGATTGCATCAAAGAGGCAGTGAGGCGTTCACCCCATCCAAGACCTCTGCTTTCTGGGTTTCCCTCCCCAGACGGAGCGTCCTGGGCTTTCAAGTACGGTTTCTTCCCCGCATTGGATAAGGTTCCGTGCAGAAGGGTAATTTCTCATCGAATGGGCGGTAGAAGGTGGACGACTCCTCATGAGGTGTGTCACAAGAGGTGCGCATGTTGGCTCTGTTAACACGTTCGACTCAAGGGGAGCAAGGTATATAAACCTCACCTTGAAGCTGCTAGCCCCCAGCACCCGACATCCCGACGGCCTCTGGTGCGAATCCCCCTCACCTCCCTTTGCTCACGATTAATGTGTCCTCTCCCTACAGGATCCTGCTGCATATCAGACACTTCTACATTTACGTCCTCGTACGAGACCCTCACGCAGGTATTTCATATCTTCTAACGGATCGCGGCTTGGGCTAATGTATTTCACGGTATATTCTTCCAGTCATGCCGCCCACCGACATCGTGCAGAAGCTTCGCAACTACCTGTACGATCAGCAATTTGTCCAGCCCGAGTTCGTGCGCGCGTTCGAGATGGCCAAGGAAAAAGCGGGTCCTCTGTTCCAACAGTTTGGGATCAAGACCGTGGACGACTATCTGGACTATTACGACAAGTTGGTCAAGTGGGTGCCGACGGAGACCAAGGACGGCACCTTCGTGTACACTCACCTCTGCCTGTTCTACTTCGTGCTCGGCCAGGATCCCCTTTTCGGTACCCAGAGCGCGACCAGACCCACCACGCACTCTCCGTACACGTGGCTCTCGCGGTGGATCATCGAGTATGCGAAGGAGATGGGCAAGTGGATGGACACGACGGAGTCAATCAACAAAGCGTCGATCGACACCTTCTTCGAGGCGGAGAACTACCACATGGCGGACTACGACTCGCGAACTTCACCTCCTCACGCATCCCATCCCGCGCTTGCTCTCGCTCACTAGTTGAGTGCTCGATTCTCATACACCTGCCCAGCTTTACGTCCCGAAACGCTGTTAGTGGGTGTTGGTATTCGAGCATGTCAACATATTTCTCAATATTAATTATATGCCAGCAGCTTTCAAGCGGCGCGTCCGTCCGTGAGCGCTCATCATGAGTGAGTGACGCGCGCAGCCTCAGTCATGAGCGCTGAGCGCTGAGCATGCAAGCCTGCCAATAATACGTTCAGCTCCGTCTCTCGAAACATGTTTCGAGTCCTGTAAAATAGGGTGCAAGCAACGTCAGGGCCACTTTCTGCAGCCAGACTATGTGCACAAGGACTGGACATACGTTTCAGAGGTTCCCGGGTTCGGGGTGCGCACATCTCGTCTTTTGTTTTCAAGTTGCCAAACTCATAATTTTGAATTCGCAGCTGGGCGGCGTTGAACGTCGAGTGTCCAATTCCCGACCCTGATCGCTCATGCTGGGTCTTCACTGCGCGGCCCAAATACTAGTACATGATCACCCACTGGCACTAAGTATACTAGATCAGGTAGAGAGCGTACAACCCATGGATGGGGCCCACCGTGAGTCGTATCACCCAACCTTGTAGCAGAATCTATAGCTTACTAAGCATAGACGACGAGGTTCTTTCGAACTGTCAAACACTTCATATCCCATCGGACAGCGCATGGTAAGCCACTCAGCCTGAGTACGTTATTGGGCACATTTGACGCGGAATTTCGGTCTCGAACAGCGAGCAAAATGTCGCGGCCGAGCCATTTTCAATGCTGGAACACTGCCATTGGGTACCGAAGTGGCAGAGTGGCTCAGGCTCTTATTCCTTCCATGTGTGCGCTGCGCTCGGGGGAGATGAAGGCCAGGCTGACTCAGAAATACTAGCGGCCGTCAGGGACGAATTTGCTCGCTACGCAGGTGCACGCAGGCTGCCTCCAAGCCTTGATGTATGGTCTATTTCAGGCGACGACCGGTCTCGTTGTCGTACTTTACTCTTGTCCTTTGTGTGATAGATGGTCATGCTGCTATAAAGCAAAGCGGGCCCGGTTTCAGCGCTTCAGCCACAAAAGCCACATGCACGGCGCCTACCTCCGCGCGCGGGCGCTAAACCACACGTCGCCCTCGCGAGCCTTGAGAGCCTCATATCTCATGCACAACTCATCCGTGGCTCTTGAAACTTTACATTCGTGTCCGGAATGCTGCTAAGAGTATTTACTTCACTTGAAATGGGTGAAAATGACATCTGAAACGCGTACGGGCTCAAATACGCCCTGAGGGCGATTTTCGGTTTGCGAGCGGAGAATTTGTACTTGTTTGGTCGATTCCTGTTCACCGGAGAGATGCTCGCTACGCTCGCAATCACGAGGCGGCCCGACGTCGGACGGCAGCGTCCTGCTCAACCTGCCCCATGGCCGGATTGTGTCCATACTCTGTGTCAAACGTAACCTCTCAGTCTCTGAGCACTGAGACCAGACGCCTCTCGGCGCCAGGGAGATTTGGAGGGGTGCTGCCCAGACGTGTCTCGCGTCGCAAGCGTCAAGAAGTTGCCGGTAAGTGTTTTCGCATCGAGTCTCTATCTGCGGATAAGTTCTTTCGTCGCACTCAAAAAAATTGACGTTGTTTTTGGGCAGTAAAGTTCTATTGCGCCGGGGACGTAATGATGCTTTCCTGCTTCACGTCCTCTGTCGGTGCCGCATTCCAAGTTTCCCTCACCCCCAGACGGGGCTTCCATGGCTTTCATGTACAGTTCCTTCCTTGCCTTGGCTGACGCTCTGAAGGGCAGCTGCTCATTCGAATGAGCGGTAACAGTTGAACACATGCCACTCATGGGGTGTGTCATAGGAGAGGTGCGTGTTGACGCACCTGATTTTCTGCAGCACGCTCATCCCCTCTGGAAACAAGGTATATAAGGACACTTCCGAATACCCTTCACACCCAGCACCCAGCATCCCCCCAGCTTCGGGTGCGCATTACCTTCTCATCCCTCTCCTCGCAGCTCACGCGTTCTCATTCTACAGTGTACTACTGCCTATACCACCCTCCTACCCTCAAACTTTCGCGTGAGACCCTCAGGTATTCCAGCTCTCTAGCCAATAGTGGCTGATATCATGTATCACAGTACCTTCTTCGCTCCAGCCATGGTAGACCGCACCGACATCGTGCAAAAGCTCCGGAACTATCTTAACGACCAGCAATTCGTCCAGACCGAATTCGCGCGCGCGTTCGAGATGGCCAAGGAAAAAGCGGGTCCTCTGTTCGAACAGTTCGAGATCAAGATCGAGACCGTGGACGACTACCTGGACTATTACGACATGTTGGTCAAGTGGGTGCCGACGGAGACCAAAGACGGCACCTACGTGTATAACCATCTCTGCCTGTTCTACTTCGTGCTCGGCCAGGACCCCCTCCTCGGTACCCAAAGCACCACCAGACCTACCACTCACTCTCCGTACACCTGGCTCTCGCGGTGGATCATCGAGTATGCGAAGGAAATGGGCAAGTGGATGGACACGACGGAGTCGATCACCGCGGAGACGATCGCAACCTTCTACAAAGCGGAGAGCTACCACATGGAGGAGTACGAAGACACTGAATGGCAGACGTTCAACGAGTTCTTCGCTCGTCGCCTCAAACCCGGTGTCCGCCCGATCGATGGCGGCTTGGACGACAATACGGTTATCGTGAGCCCCGCTGACGCGAAGTTCGATATCGCCCTCCCCGTCGAAGAAGGCGGCGTTGTCAAAATCAAGGGCGTCCCGTGGAGCATCACCCAGCTGCTCGACCACGACCGGGGCGATAAAATTGGCCCCTCTTTCGATGGCGGCATGTTCTGCCACTCGCTCCCAACGACTACCACCGCCTCCACGCCCCGGTGTCGGGCAAAGTCGTCGAGGCCACCGTCATCGAGGGCCTCTGCTACCTCGAAGTCACTTTCGTCCCGGGGGACGACAACGAGCCCGCACACCTCCGGATGCGCCGCAGCATGGATGTCGACAACCCGGCGCGTCGCCTTGATGTGCCTAACGACGCGGGATACCAGTTCATCCAGGCGCGCGCCCTCATTCTGATCGACACCACGGAAATGGGCCTCGTCGCGGTGCTCCCAATTGGTATGGCGCAGGTGTCATCGGTTAAGCTGAGCGTCGGGGCGGGCGACAAGGTGAAGAAGGGTGACGAACTCGCGTACTTCCAGCTCGGCGGCTCCGACGTGGTCACGGTCTTCCAGGAGCGCGCCAACGTGACGTTCACCGCGGAGGCCAACGTGCACTACAATTACGGAAAGCAGATTGCAACGGCGAACCCGCTGCCGGACAATGACCAGTGAGGGGATGATTGGTGTGTATACATTCAGCTTTTTCCAGTTTTTTCCTGATGCGCTGACACAGTGTGCTGTCCGTCGTCCAGGATCTACAGCCGCGACTCGCTGCTACGCTATCCGCTTAGGAGCTACCTGTCGTTATTGGAGGCGCAGTTTGAGCGGCGATTCTTCTCAGCGCTGGATTGTGATGTATAACGGTCTCTTGTTCGAATGCTCAATTTGTACGATAGCGGCGCGCTTGAATGTGCTGAACTTATTCTCTGCAGTTCTGAAAATTCTGTTGCATCGTGTCGGTCGCTTGGTCCGAATATTCTCGTATTAGTACCGTACCCATCAATGTTTCCTGACCGGCGCTTCGGGGCGGATTAAGGTGGCAGTGCAGACACGGCTTCGCATGCCAGCGCCGAAGCCTCCTTCAGGAATCAGTTGAACTTGACCTGGATCCAGTACGAGGCATGACTTATGTGTTCACCTTCACCCGTCTGAGCGATCTCTTCTGCTCCTGCTTGCAAACGATCATCTCTTTCCGGATATCTGGTCAACAGGCTCCACGATGACTTCGGCATCTCCGGAGCTCACTGGCAATGTCCTCCAGCGTCCTGAGTCGCCCGTTAGCAGTACGGTACAGACTGCTACTCCAGAGGTCTAACATTCGAATACTTCCGACTCTTAAGAAACTCAGAACGATTCAGAGCACACCTCTTGCCGAAACACGTCCTGTAGTGGCCTTAGCATGCTTGCAATTGACTCAGCCTGAGGGAAGCAAGGATTGCCCGCTAGTGGTCCAATACGTATCAAGGCAACTGCGTATGGCTTTTTACATCGGCGCAGATCAAGGTACGTCGGTCGCTTGGACATGTTGCATCCATATTGAAGGATTTTGGACGACTCAAGCGCGCCCTGTCGCCCATCATTTGTGGCCCGCTTTGTGCACCGCGCAATACTGCGCAGTCAAAGCGGGGACAATCACACTCATTGTACGTCGAGGTTCCCCTTAGTATATAACTCACCTCGCCCGGGACTGGCTATAATCTATCAGTCACGGACACTACTGTTGGTACGAGACAGTCTCATACACAGACCACCGCGAACAGAATGCGTACGTGGCGTCTCATCCACCCATATCGTCGCTCATACACTCACCTTGTCATGTAGAAGCGGACACATATGAGCAAGTGCACAAGATATGCTTCCAAGACTACCACACGGTCGACATCGGGCAGTGGGACCCTCCGATATCCCCAAGCCATGCCAGTCCTCTAGCAAAATGGTATCAATCTACCCTTGTGGGCAAGGCGGCTCGTAAGGACTACAATCCTCTAAGACTTGAGGACGCTTTGCGGTAGGACCCCCCATCCGGTCTGCACTCCCAGCGCCCTAACGCCTCTCACGCAGGTCTCTCTCCGGCGCGCGGCCCGTGAAGGGTGTTTGCGCCGAGGACGCGGCCCTGCACTGTCTAGTCGACATCTTCGAGCGAACACCAGACGACGAGAACAGCTGGGACCCCGACTCCTACGACCCAAAGGCCAAATCCGAGCTCGCGAAGGCACACTCGATCGCCGCATACGCCTACTACCGAAAGTACATGGCGCGCACGACGCCTATCGCGAAGATCGGGAAGCGGGACGCGCTCGCGCCAGACGACCCGCTCGCGTTCCTCCTCGATGCGGCACGCCACGCCAGCCACGCAGCGGCGGTGCAGCTGCTCACGCCCGCCGTGCTCCTCGCCGGGTTCGCACTCCGCACGTGCATCCTGGACATGCCTCTGGTATCGCCATCGCACCTCAATCTCTACTTCCTGCAGTTCCGGCCGCTCTGGCGCGCGCTAGAGCGGTGCGGGAAGCGGTGGCCCGCGCGTCCGCCCGCTGACGACGAGGATCCGCCCCCGGCGTACGATGCCTGCGCAGCGGAGGAGTGCGAAGCCGCGGTCGTGGTTGGCCCCAGGCTGGCAGAACACTACAGCGGATGCCCAGATTGCATTGGGGAAACGGACGAAGCCCCGTTCTATTGCAGTCGAGAATGCCGCGATCAGGTATGTTGGCTCCCCTCGACGTTTCCTGGCGAGCAACATGGCTGAAATTCTCTTCAGGATTGGGCGACGCATCAAGGAACGTGCCAAGCCCCAGGCCGGCTCCGCGGGCCAATAATGGCGAACCAGGCGCGTCGCGTACAGCAGCGCAACACCTTGAATGAGATGAGCGGGCGGGTAGAGAGCTATACGCATTACGAGGTCGTGCCGGATGACTCCGAGGCGGAGAACACTGGTCCGCTGTGCGGGTTCGTAGAGTGGTCTCGGAGTCTGCCGTGCCCGCTGGACACGCCGTGGAAGACGGTGACAGTCGTCAAGAGAACGTATCGGTTTCAAGAGGGCGTGGAGAGCCCCCGTTGAGGCATGGCGCCCGAGGCCTAATGTGTAGTGCCGTTGTAAATCCTATACATTCGAAGCTAATAATGATCAGCGCAGCTGGTACCCATCCGAGCCGGCCGCCTGTTGTTTATCGAATACAATATTGGTACGCATTATGTTCAAAGGACCGCGAGTAGTAAGACAAAATATACATGTGCGAACTGCCCTGAGGCGTAGGTATATACATAAAAGAAGATGAAATCTTACAACGGTGGGGAGGTCCAGTGCTAGTGAAGTGCTTTAGTCTCACTGGCAGGGTTTTGGAGATAAATACCCAGAGTTAGAACGTACAGAGCGAAGAACAGACTCCGAGAGGGTACGTGTATCCCGAGAGCCGAAGCCCCGGACCATGAGAGCGCGAGTTCCAGAGCGACACAACGCGAGCCGAGCGCAGGAGAACGCCAGTCCCAAAGCCCGAGAGACCAAGCTCAAAAGCGCCAGAGCACAAGTCAGAGAACACCAGAGCGCCAGGAGACGTCTGCCAATGCAAGGGAGAGCGAACGAGTGAGACAACAAGTTCCGACAGCACTAGGAGTTTGTGGGCGCTAGAAAAGGAACGGAGATGATGTTGGGAGGGGTTGAGTGGGGTTAATTATCTGGGCCACGCCGCGAGGGACCATCTTGGAGGCTGAGGCGGAGGAGAGAGAAATCGAAAGAGCTTGAGGAAGGCAGTCGATGCTGGGGAATTTGCTGATATGCCGACCCGAACTGTGCAAACAGGCGCAGGGGAGCGGGAAGGAGCTAAAGTCAAAAAGTTAAAATAGGCCGAAACGTTGGAAGGTTATGCAGTCTGTCTGCTTTCACACCTCCTTGAAGCAGCGATGGTTTCAAAAGCGGCGGCTCACTGTGCTTAGGAGGGGACGTCAACGTGGATGCAGCAGACCTTAAGGAGTACATACCAGTGTCTTGCTGTGCGTTTCCCTGGTGGCGACTTTTGATGTGTGCCCGGAGGTCCCGCTCCCGTTTGAAGGAGCAGTCACATTGGGGGCACTGCGAACGTGTGAAGGGCGAGCCGTGGGCCTCGCGCTGATGGGACCGAAGGTTGTTGGGGCGATCACGAAAACCTGCCAGTGTGTGAAGTAGAATAAGCATGGGAGTGGTGCAAGTTGATGTGAAGCGTAAGCGGCTCACGTTTAGGACAGTCCGGGTAATCGTGGCTGCAGTGGTACCATATCACCAGACGATTCCCTTCGTACTCATGGGAGGTTTTGTAGGTTCCAGCGCCTATCTTGACGATCGCGAAACTAGGCGCATCGAGAAGGTTGGAAGGGGGGTAGAATGGCAGGCTGCCGTAGAGTGCGGGAGAGGGAAACGAGGTGGTGGGGGGAGGATATCTCCGGACTAGAGATGGTGCGCCATTGTTCGGAGCCAATCCAGACGATGCGGAGTTGCTCCCGGACGCTCTAGTATCGAGGATGTGAACAGGTTCACTCGGTGGATGGTACGGTGCCCCTGCACTTTCGGGAGATGTACAGGTAAAGTGGTCCCTTGGAGGCGAAACCATTTGCCGGCGCGGTATACGGTCGGAGCCCGAAGGGAGAAGGGGGTCATGCGGGTTTGGCGTGGGGCCAGGAGTGTAGGTCTTTTGAAAGGCTTCTAGCACAGTGCTCTTCTGCTCCATCGTCCGCCGCCAGTCACCGACGTCATGCCCCGAAGACGGGAAAGAGGTTCCGGCTGAGACCACACGCACATCGCCGTAGAGCGGGGTACTCCCCCTGTCAAGGTGTGGGAGGGAGGTAGCCGGATTATCGGGACGTAGGGCCGCTAGGGGAGTAACACAGTGGTTTGGCCGCACCGGAAGCGCGCCCTGCCGTATCGTGGGTGTACCGGCGTTGGCGTGATTGGGCCACCAGTCGTCTATACCCATCTTTCCCCCGCCGGGGGGTGAAGGGGAGATGGTATGACCACCGGAAGATGGATCGGATGAGCGGGAGCGGTTCAGCGATGTGGCCTGCACTTCTTGAGCGGGATCGGGATCACAGTCCGGGAACCAACTGAACCCAGGGGAGTCGAAGTTGATGAGGTACGCTGACGTAGAGGATTCCGTTGCCGATGGCGGTTCTACTGTTTTGTCCGAGGTGACGTTGGACGAATGAAAGTGGTTGGGAGAAGGGGCTGGTAGAGAGTCGTAAAGATGGGCCGCGGGTTGGCCATGTATGTTGTTATAGTAGAACATGGTGTGAAGGTCAGAATGCCAGGGGTTTTGGGGGTGCAGAACCGGCCTGGTGGACTGGTGGGCTGCAAGACGACGCGCCTGCACAATATAAGTATGGTCTGACACGGTGAGAAAGTCTGCGACATCACCGCCGTTGCGTTCTTCCGGAAGCCGTCGGTGTAGACGCGACGTCTACTCGAGAGCCGCGAGCGCGCGTCGTATATCGAGATATTCGCTCCGACCCCACCAGTCGGTACCTACTACAGAGGCACATGCAGCCGACGCAGCCCGGGGAGAGCCACACACGTGCGGGTCGTATACAGATACAGGGTAAGCGTTAGCCTCGCGCAGATGGTCGCTTACGTTCAAGTTATCTGCACACGGCTCGTGTGCCGTACCTATGGCTTGGCTCGTAAGCCACAATTCTAGGTCTAGTCGGAAACCTGAGACAGCTGTTCCTTCTATTAGTACTTACGACGTGTCCTGTCGGCGTTTAGTCAGCGGAGACATAGGTCTGCGTAGGGCGCAGACAGTTGGGCACCCAAGTGACGGCAAATATAGCCTAGTAGAGTTCAACCCTGCGGATATATGTCTATCAGTACTCAGTCATAGCATTAGCGTTTAATAGGTCGTACTTACGGTCGTACGTAGCTTGGAGAGGGAGAAGCGCACGCAGGCGCCCGTAGAGCCTCGCTAGGGTGTCTAAGGCGCCGGCTCAAACGCGCGCGCCGGAGTTCGTCCGTGGTCAATAGTCTGCAGCGCATTGAGGGGGCCATACCGGTGGTCAGAAAATAGGGTTTAGTCAGCAAGGATTTGAGCTCCGCAACGCGTCCAGATCTGATCGCGCGACGCGTCGCGCGTCTCGCGCCTTGCTCAGGGCACTGAGCTTTTTGAGCTCTCGCGTCCTGTACGCCGCATTCCCCTTAGGCTTGTCCCTCGAACCTCGTAACCTACGCAATGCACTAAAATCGAATATACTGGCTTTTTTATTATCCATATATGCTGATAATATGGCTGCTGCGACACCGACACCGACCTCAGGCTTGTTCCGACAATTTGCGTCCCCTGAAGGAGCTTCACTATGCCGCAAGGTAGCCAGCGAAAAACTGGGATTCGATCCGCACGACTATGTCGTCGAGGGTGTGTGCAAGGCCCTAGACGGACTAGATTTGCTCGCCGTAACTCCTACTGGCTCGGGCAAGACAAGCTTTCTCATCATCTACTTGCTGGTAATCAGCGAGATCTTGCAACACCCGGAGCTGTGTCCCTCAGCAAAATTCCCATTGAACCCGGTCATGCTCGTTGTATGTCCTACGAAGTCCCTAGAATATGACATGGTAGGTCGCTCATTTGCTACGACCTTTTTGTAACACTCAATGGCATCGCATATTGCAGGAACCCAAGTTCGCAAAGGCGACACTTTCACCATTGGTCATAAACTCCGACACGGTAGACAACGGTCGCCGTGCGACCCCGCCGTTGAATCTCTGGGACAAGGCTGCTACGACCGACGTCAACGTGATCCTACTCGCCCCGGAGCAGCTGCGCAAGAAGGGCTATGCAGGCTTGATGGCAAACGACGCGTTTCAAACTCGCATTGTAGCCATGGCCGTGGACGAGGTGCATCTCATGGACGCTTGGGGAGAGTCCTTTCGGCCCGCGTTCAAGCAGATTGGCCACGCGCGCGCTCGGGTCACCGGAAAGGCCATCCTCATTGCTCTCACCGCCACTTTACGCGCGGGTGCTCCCATGCGCTCAGTCTGCACTTTCCTCGGCCTTCTCAACGGCGGATACCACTTCATCCGTCGTTCGAATATGCGCCACGACATCACTATCCAATTCCGCACTGTCCAATCTGGTGCCCGCTCTATGACGTTCCCTGAGCTCAACTGGGTCCTGGACAGCAAGCGCAGAGTCATCGTCTTCTGTCGGACCATCGCTCTTGGCTTTCGAGTTGCTGTGTACCTATGGCACCGAGCGGCGGCTCTGCCTGATCGTCCCCAGCGCATCCGCTTCCATAATGCACTCAATGCTCCCAGCTACAACACCTCTACCCTTGGCTTCCTCCACGACGACAACCGCTCCCGTGTCACCATTGCTACCGATACTCTCGCTGTCGGTATCGACGTCGCCAATACGGACGACGTTGTCTTGTATGAGCACGAGCTCCCCAGCAATACCGACATGATATTGCAAAAGATCGGACGAATACGGGATGGCTCTGGGGGCAGGAATGCGCGAGGGATCGTTTATCTCCCAAAGAATGCAGAGCAGCAAGCTCGGAAGATTGTCGACCAACTGGGGGCTCCCTCCGCGCCAAAGCGGGCGAAGACAGGCCGCTCGGGGACAGTACGCAGCGATCCCATCGACGCCAGCACGGCACACCTCATCCTTGCGCCATGCAAAATGGAGGAGATCAATCGGCTCTACGACAATCCTCTCGACGAGCCCCCTTGCTGCTGTGCTACTTGCAAGGAGCACCCACGACCGTCGAGACCTGAACGCTGTCTATGCAGTGGCTGCTCGTCATCACAAGCCAACGACGACCATGCAGGCCCCAGGCCGCCATCTCCAGTTGCTCGAATGAGCTCGCACGAATCGCCGCATCTGCCTGATTCCAACACTACTAGTGGCACTCTTCCTGACGACACATCCGCTGCAAAAAAGCCGTTCAAACGGGAGAGGATCACGAAGATCATGAAGGAACACGCAAGGGCAAAGTTTACGAACTTTCGCCGGCGTGTCTGGTGGAATGAGGACCCGCGCAAAACGGAGATGCGTCCATCTGAGGAATACTTTCCGGACCTACTCATGGACGTTGTTCTCGACGACTTCCATCTGCTCGTCGACACCGCTGCCTTGAAGGTCACTCTCATGGACTACGAGCTTCTACGCACACACCTGGACTCCCTTCTCTCCCTGGTGAAAACCTTGCGAGCGGATTTTGCGACGATGAGGGAGGAGGCTCGAGCTGCCGCAGCTGAACGTCGACGTGCCAAGAGGGCTGCCCAAGACGGTGGTGGAATTCTGGAGGCCGGCAAAGGAGCGGCAAGCGATGATGAAGCTAGCTCAATGGATGAATGCTCTAGCAGTAGCTCAGAGAGATGGGACGATGAGTATGAACAGGGGTGGGGAGAGCAGCATTCCGAGTCCGCCACTGGAGGTCCTGGGTCGACTACTATCATCGGCAGCGGGGGGAAGCGAAGTGCAGGGACAATACGTATACCGGGGGGCCGCTTCAATAAGGTACCGCTCTCCAAGTAGCCATACTAAAAGTATACAAAATACTAGCGACAGAGTGCCATATAAGACAATGCTGAGACCTTCAGGCTGTAAACTTTACCTCATTCAAGCCGCTGCATTGGCGCCATCGTCATCGCTAGCGAGGGGTTCATCAGCATCTCCATTTCCAGCGCGCTCCTGCATCGCTTCCAGGAGCCTATCAGCATTTTGCGTGGGATCGAGGTCCTCAAAAACCAGTTCGCCATCGACCAAACACGGCATCATGAGGCGCGGGCGGGTGCTGCCCTTTTGACCCGGATGATCTGGGCCTTCGCCGAAAGGCTCGCCCTCAGGTTCGGAGTCAGAGTCGTCGGGGTCGTCTGTGTTAGTAGCAGCGAGCTGGTGGTACTCGAGCCGAGTGGGCTGATTGTCTCCTGTCGGATACTCCGCATGAAGTTTGTGTTCATGATCCACTTCGAGAGGCGGCCGGCACGTAGATTACGAAGGCCGCGGCGGTAGTCATCACGGGCAAGGGAAGTCTGGTCCTTGGCAGCTTTGGAGACTGGGGTGGTTGTTGTGGGGGTGAGATAGTGTCGTCCAACGCGCCGTGAGTGAAGTTGCAGCGACCGATATTCGCGAAGAAGCACGGTCAATTCTGTGCGTGTGGGAGGAGAAGAGTGTCGGCCGGAGCGATCCGAGAGCCCAAGGCCTTCCTTCAAGTCGGATTGAAGACGTGATAGATGGTGCAGATTTCTGGAGAGAATGTTGCGAATGAAGTTGTCGTTGTACTCGACTCCCTTGCGCTCCGCAATGGCCTGGAGCAGGCGGTTGAAGTACTCTTGTATGAGGTCCCCCGGCGAGAAGCGGCCAGGTTGTCCAGTGAGATTGATGAGGATCGTGCTGAGGATCATCTCCCGTAGTTCCGGACTCGACTCGAGCTCCAGAGAGCAGATGAATTCGAGGAGATATCCCGTGTACTTTGTATGCGAAGACCCTGCAAACGTCAAGAGCATCATCTATTGATAGTCAGCAAGCTGGGATGTCGGAGCTCAAATGTTACTTACCTTCATGGCCTCGTAAACTCGCCCGACGTCTCCCTCGGCCACCGCGTACAAGAACTCCCGTGAAACCCAAGTGTCTCTCATGAACGCAATGGAGTTAGAAAGCACTTGATCGCCGTTGAACACGGTTGAGTTCGACTTTTTCTCCGTAGTACTCGGGCTTGGTTTCTCTCCGGCGTTCGAACCCGGTGATCCTTTCGTCTTCGTCTTGTGGCGGGAGTCGGATGTCGGCTGCGATGCTTGTGGTATCGACGAAGAAGACGCTTGCGGCGTGGCCGAGGGAACTGCGCTTGTTTGGGGTATCCGGCTCTCAGTACACGGTCCCTCAGGCGAGTGCCAGGGATCGCCAACAGGAACAGTCTGTTCCCATTCATCCGGTGGAAACCCCTCAGCAGGGTCAGAGCTGTACTGAGCTCTTTCGACAGCACGGTTGCTCGAGTATGCACGGTACAGTTTCTTGGCGATCACCTCGAGCTCTTCAAAAGACGGAAGGCTTCCGCTCCGGGCAAGGGTTGCGAAGTGAGCGAAGAGGTCATTTTGTTTGAAGTGCAGGCTGATGAAGCGCCATGATATCAGCTCCTGGTTCACCACTGGTTACAGCAATATCAGTCCCAGACTTACCGCCAACAATCAAGCATGCGAGCATCTAGCACCAGATAGGCCAGCTCTGTGCCGAAGTGGAAGTCGACCTTCTTGAGGTTCGAAGGGGCACGTCGGCCTAACTTCGCAGCGCTGTGTCCCAAAGTAGACGGATCCTTGGCGAGTAAGTCGCCCCAGTGGGTCTCAAAGATACGGCTTAGATCGGCCCAAGCAGTATGCCAGGGCGCCAGGACAGGCTCCGTGACCTCCAAACTGTCAAGCTCGTTGTCGTGGAACTGTAAGTAGTTCCGCAGCTGAACGATCTTCTCGTACGTCAAACCGTCCCCGCCTAGCATGAAGAGCTGCTTTTTGAAAGCATCTGGGGTCTGGCCTGTTTGCTCGAGAAAGTCCAGGAGGGCGTCCTTCAACTCCGTCGTGATCGTCTCGTTTTTGCCGCTCGTCGCAAGCGGATGCACGCGAGAGGGGGTTGCAGGGAGACGATGCTTAGCACCACGAGTCCGATACCGCAGAGAGACCTCCTCCCGATAGGAATCGAGCTCGGGGACATAGCGCGTGAGAACGCGAAGCCATTGCAGGATCCCGACGACCTCGCGATGCTCCATGTCTACAAAGCTGACCAGCTGCTCCACTGACAGATCCTTCCTCCGGTTCTCCGCAATCCGCCGCCGCTTGTCTTCAAGATCCATGGCGCTCGGCGGGCAGTTGGGGACCTCAACGTATGTCGCCGCTATGCCGATGTTCAGGGTGTTTTCTCGGCCTATGCGCTCATCCCGTTGCAAGAGGTAGTTCTGGACGTTATCAAGCCAAATGATGCCAACTGACTTTGGGTCTTTACCGTGCAGCTTGATCACCTCGGCCTCGTGCTCGGCCAGGCCTTTGAGCGTCTTGCAGACAGTGCTATAGGCCGGCATTGTACCGAGGCGGGAGTTGTGAAGGAAGAGATCGTACGGTGCCGACAGCACAAAGTTCAGCAGACCGAGCGCAGTGGGGAAAAGGTTCGCTCGATTAGTGCGGGAGAAGTTCAGTGAGCTGATTGCCTGCATCACTACCTAGGGCCCGTTATACTCCATTCAATCGACTTCTCGGAGCGCCTAGATGTAGCGTGTACGTACCAGCTCGGGCGGACGCTCTTGACGGGTCACGGTTGCTTGATCTGGGTCGTCTTTTCCTACAGAAGAATCACCGTAAATTATCCTATCCAGCCGATCTCATAACAGGATGCTCACTATAGGCGATGGCGCGAGCAAGCTGCCATGTAAGTGGTTGGTGTTTGCGTATAACCTCCGAAACGTGAGAGACCGTGCCCTTTCCAAGCTCGTTCCAAACAAGCTTGGCTTGGGGGCGGTCCGGATTGCGACTTTGCGAGCTTGGTGCCTTGCGCGAGGTATGTAATCCATGGTCGGGGTCAACCGCGGATTCCGCCTCCTTGATGACTGTCTTGCGAACGATCTGGGCAGCAAATGCTGTCAGAGCTTGCCGTACAGGTTTGAATTCCGTGAAGGGTGGTGTTGTGGCATACAGAGGCCCGCCATCAGGTATGCACCCGTCAGGATGTTTCAGCCATAAGTCTAATATCATTGCAGGTGTATATTGGGTTTTCCCCTTCAAAAACTTCTGAACAATGCCCGCATGGGTACGGGAACGATGTACATCACGTCCATACTGGAATACATGCCAAAGGAACTCGGACAGCGTCCAGTCGACCTCCGTGGAAATAAAGCTGAATATGGCACTCAGCTTCTCCGCAACCGGTAAGTCTCTGCGCTGTTTCCGCTTCTTGGACGATCCCTGGGTGGCATCCCCGAAGCCCGCATTCGGGTCACGGTTCTCATCCTGTTGCCTGCGTTTGCGAGACGAAACCGAGGCCGGGGAGGGCGCCGCAACGCCGGGTGTCGGACTCGAAGGATATGGTGGTATGTAGTAGCCTGGCGTGAGGCTGGCCCCAGGTGTATAAGGCAGCGAAGCTGAGTAGTAAGCGGGATGCGGGGAAGCGAAAGTAGTGCTGCTCAAGGCGTAGCCGTATTCCCGCGGCATAGCAGAAGGTCCGACCGGGGACTGCGCAAGCTGTGGCTCCGAGGCAGACCGTGATAGCGCGTGAGGGTCGGCATAAGAATCCGCCATAGCAGGAGCGTAGCGACGTTGACAGTATGGCGCAGAGTCAAGTATCGAATGAGGCGTTCAAGCGCGATATGCGCCACCTCTCCCGATCCGATCTCAGCCACTCGGCATCTCTGCAATCACATACTCCGCTGATCTGCACGCACTCTTAGCTGAACAACGGTGAGGAGGGGTCAATCCGTAGCAGACGTCCCGTTGAGCGTCCCTGCCCCCCCTCATAAAGCACATCGGAACGGCTGCCTAGGGGAGACTACGTGGTCAAAGTCCGCCACTTGTTTATCTGCCACACTATTTACTCGAGAGTTCGCACTGTTCCTCCGAATCCAACACAGCACATACTCGAGCCGTTCTTAGCCATGTGGGGTGAGCCCTTTGATTTCACTTTCTCGTTTATATACAGGGCTGACTCACCGGTGGTTACGTAGACCTGATAGACATCGCGACCAGCTCGCTCCGACACCCGCCTAGACAGGTATACGGTGATGGCGATGTGGCCATTAACTGTGGTGGCACTGCGTCCGATCCAACATTCTTGTGATCATGCGGCGCCCCATCCAGAGCTGTATCGCGGCACAGCTACGCCATCCCCGCTTGGTTCGTATGATTGCTATTCAGTACGGCGCATGAGTTTTCGCTCCCGCACTGCCATATACCACACCACTGCGGATATCGCTGACAGCAAGTTAACCACAAACGACTAGATGGCCTCTTACGTATGTCCCGCAAAGCACAGGTGACTCAATCATGAAGGTTTATGCTGCCCACGCCGCACGCGGGGCCAACGGATAGCCTCCAGTGCGTTCTTGACGTCTGACATATAAGGCTGAAGTTGAACCGTGATGACAGTCCGGAATCCGTATCGGGACATGCGACCTCTCGACATCCCCCGAGCGTCCCCGAGCATCACGCATGTCTTTGCCGCAGTGCATGAGCGGAATGGAGATGGGGAGCCTTGCCGACGTTATTGTAAACACGGTGCGTTGACGTTATTGAGCGGATGGAAATCGCCTCACCTATTCGTTATGCAGGCACACCGTACTCCATGTGAGTGTCGTGGGGTCCTGTGCACGGCCCACTTACGCGGTACATTTGTGGACACCCTGGGCGAAGTATAGCAGCCGCTGGCGGCGTCCGTAGGGCCCTCCCCCCTATAGCCTGAGGAGACGCGGGTGAGCCCCCCCGCCTGCTCCGCTCAGGTTTAGGACGTGCGCGTGTAGCGTCTTCACTCGTAGGGTAGCTTCGCGTGCGACGGCTGGCATGATCTTGGTACTTGAGAAGGGGTTTATTTACGGAGGTGAGTGTCTAGGCCTCGCTGGAGTTGAGACAGCCGCATGAGGGCAGAATGGTCGCATGATTTTACTTGCAGGAGACTCTCATGCTAGCATACGGGCTAATCACGACAGTACATCCTTGCAAATGCAGAACACATGTGAGCAACAGATGCGACCGGACGTGATAAGGCCCAAAATCTGACACGTATCGACGCAGCGGCCGGCCAGACACTGAAGCCACATCGGCAGCAGCGGAGCAATCGACTACTCGCTTAGAGGCTATGCAGGTCAATGCGTCTCGCTTTGCATGCTAGCGTGGATCCAACGCGGATATGGAGGTATATCGGGTGCTTGACCACTTCGCATGCACCAGCGGACTGAGGCCAAAGCGCTACGCCGTCCAACCGTCTTGACGCGCATTGAACAGCACACCGTTCGCAGTCAAAACTATACCTGACATCTCCACTGGACGTCCAAGAGCACTCATGTATATAGCTGGCTTCGCCACTGGGAGGGAGGGGCTTTGAGCTACCAGCCACGCACACTCCGACCATTGTGAATCCGCCTCAATAAAACCCTACAGTGAGAATAATGCGTACGTCATTTCTCATTCCTTGTCGCCCTTCTGCTAACCCGCACGCGTCATATAGAAGCCGACAGGTACGAGCAGATATACAAAATCTGCTTACAAGACTACCATACGGTCGAGTATGGGCAGTGGGACCCTCCGCTGTCCCCCGTTACTCACGTTCTAGCACCGATGCACCTATCTTCCCTCGTGGCCGGGGCCAAGGTCACTAACAACTACGGTCCCGTGTGGCTGGAGGAAGCTCTGCGGTAAGCGCTCCCACCTGCCCTTCGCATGCGTAGCACGATCCTAACGTCTCCCACACAGGTACCTATCCGGCATAGGCGGGATCCCAGACGTCGGCATCACAACACTGCCCGGCTGGTCCGCAGAAGACGCCGCCCTGCACTGCGTCGCCCACCTCGTCGACACACACAAACAAACCCCCCCGGACGAGCGCACCTGGTTCCCCCCAGCCTACTCCCCCACCGCCGCGTCCCTCGCCGCCAAAGCGCACTCCATCGCCGCGTACGCGTTCTACCGCAAATACACGTCCTGCACGGAGCTCCGCCTGGGGCGCGGCCGCACGCGGCTCACCGCGCTCGCCGCGGACGACCCGCTCCGGTTCCTCGTCAAGGCCGCGCGCCATGCGGGGCACGCGGCGGCCGTGGGGCTGCGCACGCCCGCGGTGCTCCTCGCGGGGTGCGCGCTGCGCACGTGCTTGCTGGACATGAGTGTCAAGAAGAGCGAGTTCGATTTGTACTTTTTGGAGCTCAGGCCGTTGTGGCGCGCGCTGGAGCGGTGCGAGAAGCGGTGGCCCGCGCCCAGGCCCGTGCTTGATGAGGGCGCGGTGCCGACGTATGCTGTGTGCGCCGCTGAGGAGTGCAGGGCCGCCGTTAGAGGACCGGCGGAGCATTATACCGTTTGCCCACATTGCGCTGGCAAGGTGAAATCGGCCCCGTTCTACTGCAGCCAGGAGTGCCGCGATCAGGTATGTCCCCTCTTCCCGAGTATATTCTTGTGTATTGCATGTCTGAACTCGTCTCCAGGACTGGGCGACGCACCAGGGAGCATGCCTGAGGCCGGGATTTCTTCGCGGGCCGGTATTCGCCACTAAAGAGCGTCGCAGACAACAGTGCAGCGCCTTAGCGTTCACGAGCAGGGGGGAGACTTGTACGCATATCGAAGTTTTGCTGGAGGACGACTGCGAAGACGCTGACGTGCAGTGGTGTCAGACTCTCCTGTGTCCGTTGGGCACCCCGTGGAAGACGGTGACGGTGGTTAAGAGGGAGTACCACCTCAAGAAAAGAAAGAGTGCTGAAGTACTTATTATTACTGACTCGGAATAGCGTATGAAACCCAACGACCACGTATATGACTTGAATTATCCCCGCTACCTTCTAGGTAGTGGGTCTTCATGGTCTGCATTATTATAGGGCGCCCCGCAACTTGTCATGTTGCGATACTCCTACTGGATTTAAATGCTTCTTCTCTGAGATGAACCCGCTTTTCTGTCCTGATTCGGGCTTATTCGATATATCTGTAACATATCATGAAGCGATCGACTTCCTACCGAATAGCCCCTCCGTGATCGACGCGCAGCGCGTATGTCTGACCATCGAGGTTGCTTCTTCTATGACATTTCCCTACCTTCTTTCTCGATCTGTACCCATTCGAATGTTCCCTTAGCATAAAGAGAAGCGCAGGGAGTACTTCGGACGCGAGTACTGTGGCGAAGCCTGCGTCCAGTATTTCATGGTAGAACTTGAACTGTAAAAGGACCTCGCCCGCGAATGTTGGGTGGAGTTGCTTTTCCCCCAAAGCCTCAAAGCCTCGCAATTCACGCACCTCGCCATCTCTTCCCTTCACCCAATCGTCGTCGACTACTCCTTCGCAATTCTGCTCCAAGACACTCGCTTCGTCGTCGATGTGTTACGCGACAAACGAAGACGAACAGTCAACGTTTAGCTAAGATACTGGGATTCGGAGAAACCTAGACAAACCACGCAACGTACCTCGGCGGCCGACGTGGAAAACATTTGGGCACTCTGGCGCCATAAATGCTTCGAGGTTAAGGTGAGCGTCCACAAGACGACACGATGGACGGTGGGTGCAGGGGGCCGCTCACAAAATTACGATGACAGCTGAAATCCGCCATGTGGTGGCGATGCAAACAAAAGGCCCTGATTGGCGGCCGCGCAAAAACCCAAATGTCGTTCGGTGCTCGCCGGCGCCTACACGGCACCGCGACCTGCCAGCGCGCTTCCAATAAAAGTCGACCCACCACCCACGCTCACTACCCCCACGCTCCTTATCCTCCCTCCACCTCCCTGCTGTGCGTGCCTAGCGCTGATTTTGTCTTGCGTGCGGTGGGACTGACACGCTCTGCTTGTTTTGCAGCGCACAATGGCCCCTTCCGCTACCGAGTCCACCGCCCACGCCGACGGCCGTGTCGGCCGGCGCATCGAGAACTACACAGCCTTCTGGCAGAAGGACATCAGCAAGGAGGCCGAACAGGACACGGGCAACCGTCTCGACAACTACACGGACGTCGTCAACGGTGCGTCTAACCCAGCAGAGCTGATGCGCTGGCGCTTACACGGAAATGTCCAGGTTACTACGACGGCGCGACGAGCCTGTACGAGTACGGCTGGGGCACGTCCTTCCACTTCTCGCGGTACTACAAGGGCGAGGGCTTCTACCAGGCGCTCGCGCGCCACGAGCACTACCTCGCGTTCAAGATGAACCTCAAGCCGGGCATGCGCGTGCTCGACGTCGGGTGCGGCATCGGCGGGCCCGCGCGCGAGATTGCGCAGTTCGCGGACGTGCAGATCGTCGGCCTGAACAACAACGACTACCAGGTCGGCCGCGCGCGCCAGCTCACGAAGAAGGCCGGGCTCGAGAAGCAGATCTCGTACACCGTCGGCGACTTCATGAAGCTCGCAGAGCAGTTCGGCGAGAACTCGTTCGACGCGGTGTACGCTATTGAGGCGACGGTGCACGCGCCGTCTTGGGAGGGTGTCTACGGCGAGATCATGAAGGTGCTCAAGCCGGGAGGAGTGGTGCGTGTCTTTCTGTTTTTTTTTGCCCTTCACGTCGCTCTCGTCTCTTCTCGCTGTGTCTCGGCCTTTATCTTTAGTTGCCGGGCCGCCGTGGTAGCGGCAGTTGCCGGCGGTGTCGCAGCAACGCGTGTCTCTATGCTAATGATTCCCTGGTATACGCACAATTACTCACCATATCGCGCAGTTCGGTGTCTACGAATGGTGCATGACGGACAAGTGGGACCCGTCGATCCCCTCGCACAAGGAGGTCGCGCACGAGATCGAGATCGGAAACGGCATTCCGGAGATGCGGCACCTGCACAAGGCGCGCCAGGCGTTCGTCAACGTCGGGCTCGAGATCGAGCACGAAGAGGACCTCGCGGACCGCCCCGACCCCATCCCGTGGTACTACCCGCTCGAGGGCGACATCGGCAAGGCGCAGACGCTCTGGGACATGTTCACCGTGTGGCGGATGAGCAGCAGCGGCAAGTTCGTCACGCACCACGGGCTGTGGTTCATCGAGAAGCTCGGCATGGTCCCCAAGGGCACGTGGGAGGTCGGCGAGACGTTGAAGATTGCGGGCGACGCGCTCGTCAAGAGCGGCAAGGAAAAGGTGCGTCGTGGCTGATAGTCAAATTGACGGGCGCCCCGATGCTGATTGCGCGCGTGCCTGTCTAGCTGTTCACGCCGATGTACCTCGTCGTTGCGCGGAAGCCCGCACAAAACTAGTCGGCGGCCTGCCGGTGCTACCATCATTAGAGTCCGTCGTGCTATATTCTAGACACCTATATACCCTTGCATAATCACTACCGCGTGGATGTTCGCTCGTTTACTCTCACTGGGCTGTCAGGATGCTGTAATTCCGTGTTGTGGAACAATCTCAGGTTCAATCACGATCTAGAAGCTGCTCATGCAAGACAGACGTTCAACGTTCAGTGTCGAAGTGAAAATTGTCGTCATGTGCGCTCCGACAGCACTCGGGGTTCGTGTTCTCGACAATCGTGGTCTTCCTTCTTGTACGGAGGAGTGGGTTCCGAGCTGATCTAGTCGAAAATCCCGGCGTTCTGGATGGCGTATAAACGTACGTCTCCACGATCTATCATGTTCTTCTGACGCTGCTGCATCCACCGCAGTTACTGTCATGTTCAACCCATCTAACATCGCGACCTGCTCTTCCAAGTTTCCATCTACACGGCGATGCGATATGTCCGCCCCATCCATCCGCGCATCATCCGCGCATCAGTCTCCGTCGACTGCGCCTCGCACAACGCCTCGTACTTTGATCGCCAGTCCTAAACCCCCATTTCTCCCCTTACCGGCCACGCGTGGACTACGGGTGAGTAGCCTCCGACCTCTTGCGACGGTCTTCGCAGTCCTCCGAGGCCACATCAAGTGATACCCGCGGGAGCGTCCCATTATAACGCCGGGCCTCGCATGGGGGGCGCACAGTCACGTCAATTCAATTGAAGACATATAAGCTAGCAGCGGTGCACGCCCGCCGGCGCGCATCTTGACAGACAGAACCTTCCAACAGGGAATTCGGCGTTCGCCTTCAGCGCCCCCGGCCTTCATATATCGACCGCACACGAACACTCCACGACACACGACCGCCGCGCTACTAAGAGACGACCCGCACGACGACGACGAGCCCGAGCACGGTCAAGACGATGACGACCCCGATCCCCTCCCCGCCCGCGCTCCCGTTCCTCGGGCACATCGCGACGCTCGACCGCGACATCCCGCAGAAGACGTTCGACCTGCTCGCGGACCAGTACGGCGAGATCTACCAGCTGAACCTCATCAGTACGTCTCTCCGCGGCGTCGCGCTCGTACGCGTGCGTGCTCAGAGTCACGGTGGCTGACGAAAGGGGCACACGCGCAGCGCGCCAGAGCATCCTGCTGGCGTCGTACGAGATGCAGAACGAGCTGTCGAACGAGAAGCGCTTCGAGAAGGCCGTCGTCGGCGCGCTCGAGCAGGTGCGGAACGGCATGGGCGACGGGCTCTTCACGGTGCGTTCGAGCGCGCCCGCATACGCATGCACAGACGTTCATTAATCGTGTGCGGGTGCAGGCCTACCCTGGCGAGGAGAACTGGGGCATCGCGCGTACGTCCGACACACACACAGCTAGGCGCTTGCGACGCAATGTGGCTGACAGCAGACGGCTGGCGCAGACAGGCTGCTGATGCCCGCGTTCAGCACGGCGAAAGTGCGCGACATGTTCGGGGACATGACCGACATCGCGTCGCAGATGTTGACCAAATGGGAGAGGTCAGCCACGCCCGGCGGCAGTGGCTGTATAATATGCGCTCAAAATGACTGATTGTTACGTGCAGGTTCGGACCGCGGCACGTCATCGACCCGTCCGAGGACTTCACGCGGCTCGCGTTCGACACGATCACGCTGTGCGCGATGTCGTACCGGTGCGTTCTGGCGGCTCGGTAGGTGCAGGCGGGGTGCGATGCTCATTTTTTGCTTCGCCATGTGTAGTTTGAACACGTTCTACTCGGTTGGTGTCCTTCTTTCCGTGCGAGCGCTACTTGGGCTTTGAACTTACGTTCCCGGGGGTAGGAACACACGCACCCCTTCGTGCAAGCGATGGCGGACTTCCTCGCGGAGAGCGGGCGGCGCGCGAACCGGCCGCCGCTCATGAACACGTTCATGCGCGGCTCGAGCGCGAAGTACGAGGAGGACATGAAGACCATGAATACACTAGTGTTACAACGTCAGTCCTCATGCGCTCAAGTGTATGCGGTGAACGCTGAAGGTGACTCTGTGGGCTGCAGTAATCGAGGAACACAAGAAGCACCCGTCAGAGAAGCAGGATCTGCTGAGCATCATGCTGAATGGGGTTGACCAGAAGACCGGGCAGCGTCTGTCTGACGAGAGCATCCGCCAAAATGTGAGCGCCTCCCACTGTTGCCCACGCATGCACTCTCGATGCTAACCGCCAAACCTAGCTACTCACGTTCCTCATCGCTGGTACGTCGCATCGCTATCGCAGTCACGCCTTTACTAACCCTGTTGTAGGTCATGAAACGACATCTGGACTACTGACATTCACGCTCTACTACCTCTGCAAGCACCCCGAAGCGATGCGTAAGCTGCGCGAGGAGGTCGACGAAGTGCTCGGCGACCAGCCCATGCAGCTTGACGATGTCGGCAAGCTCAAGTATGTAGCCGCTTGTCTGCGGGAGGCGTTGCGCCTGAGCCCCCCAGCGACGATTCGCGTCGTGCGGTCCCTGGAGGACACGACGATTGGGGGCGGGAAGTACGCGATTCAGAAGGGCGCGGTGCTAGCGATGCTTACGGCGAAGTGCCAGATGGATCCGAAAGTCTGGGGAGAAGACGTGAGCAGTGTTTCCGTTGACATTCGCTGAAGAACGGAAAGTTGATTGCATGTCGGTTTAGGCTCGCGAGTTCAAGCCCGAGAGGATGTACGGGGAGAACTTCGAGAAGCTGCCGGTCAGTCTACGTCGCTCCTGCCATCATGCCGCGATATTCATAGACGTCTCTACAGCCCAACGCATGGCAGCCGTTCGGGTATGGCATGCGCGCGTGTATTGTAAGACACCCTCAGTAACAGCCAGCAGGCTTCGACTGACCGACGTGCGACGTGACAGGGCCGACCCTTCGCCTGGCAAGAAGCCCACATTGCGCTCGCGTCCGTCATCCAGAAATTCGACATCGTGATGCACGACCCGTCGTACACTCTCGAGCTCAAGCAGACGATGACGATCAAGCCGAAAGGCTTCTACATCCACGCGATCCCGCGCAACCGCTCACCCTCACCCGTCCCTGTGTCGTTGTCGTCGCCGCTCGTCGATGCGCCGCATATGCCTCACTCAAGAGAGGGCTCTAGCGAGGTTTCGGGCACTCATGCTGAGCCGAAGCAGAAGTTGTATGTCGTGTATGGCTCGAATACGGGTACGTCGCAGACGTTCGCGCAGCGGATCGCGAGCGATGCGCCTTCTCATGGTAAGTCCTATTTGAAACGGATCAGCTAGAGCAGACATTGAGTTGTTGATAGGCTTCAAGGCGACGCTGGGCATACTCGACTCCATCGTCGAACATGTGCCTACTGACGGTCCACTCATTATCGTCACCGCATCCTTTGAAGGTAAGCATTCAGATCCCCCCAACGTGTGGCTTCTTCATATCATATCTCATAGGTGAGCCCGCGGACAACGCCGCTCACTTCTTCGAATGGATGCAGAACACCAAGGGTAAGGAGATGGAGAACGTTAAGTATGCTGTGTTCGGGTGCGGCAACCGCGACTGGGTGCGGACCTACCAGAAGGTGCCCAAGATCATCGACGCTACCCTCGAAGCGCGCGGAGGCAGGCGGTTGTACGAGCGTGGTGAAGGCGACGCTCAAGCAGCGGACTTCTTCCAAGCCTTTGATCAGTGGGAGACGGAGCTATGGAAGACGTTGGCGCAGGTGTGTTACAGCTCTCTTTACATGACATTATCGCCATCTCACACATTGGCAGGAATACGGCATTGCGGTAGTGGAACAGAAGTCAGCTGACAGTGGGATTCGCATGAAGACGGTTGATCCTGGTACCTCGAGAGCGGCGGTCCTTCGACAGCCTGACGCTGAGCTTGGACGCGTTGTCGAGAACCGTCTGCTGACGGCTCCCGACGCACCAGAGAAGAGGCACATTGGTAAGCAGTCCTCAATGATGCATTACGCTTCGAAGACTTATCGCGTCGACAGAGTTCAAGCTTCCGGAATCTATGACTTACCGTGCTGGAGACTACCTCTCTATGTAAGTTTAAAATGCAGTCCAAGACAATTTCTCGTGTGTATTCACCCTTCTATCAGCTTGCCCCACAACCCTGCGCGTGATGTTCATAGGGTAATTTCGCGTTTTTCACTGTCGCCAGAGCAGCAGGTATGCGTGCATGCCACTCCTACTACCTGACACTGTGACGTAACTTTGCGCAGATCGTCCTGTCCTCAGAAGGACCTACTTCCCTGCCAGTGGACAAGCCCATCAGCATCTTCTCTCTTCTTTCCGGATACGTCGAGATCACCCAACCTGCCACTACGCGCGACCTTCGCGACCTCCTCGCCGTCGAGTGTTCCGATACAACCAAGGCAGTACTGGAGGACCTGTCCGCCTCGTATGCCGAAAAAGTCATGACAAGGCGCCTCAGCATTCTCGACATCCTCGAAGACCATCCCGACATCAAGCTCCCATTCGGCACCTTCCTCGAGATGCTCCCGCCCATGCGTGTCCGCCAGTACTCGATCTCGTCCTCCCCGCTGCACGATCCGACCCAGCCGTCGCTCACCGTCAGCGTCGTCGAGGCGCCCGCCCTCTCCGGGCGCAAGGACCCGTTCCTCGGCGTCGCGTCCACCTTCCTTGCGAGCCTCCGCCCAGGGGACATGGTGCAGCTCGCGGTGCGCGGCTCCTCCGCGGCGTTCCATCCCCCAGAGGACGTGAGCATCCCGATGATCATGTTCGCGGCGGGCTCGGGCCTGTCGCCGATGCGCGGCTTCCTGCAGGAGCGCGCGATGCAGAAGAAGGCGGGCCGCAACGTCGCGAAGTCGACGCTGTTCTTCGGGTGCCGTTCGCCGGAGGAGGACTTCCTTTACGGCGACTCGGACCTGAAGGAGTGGCAGGAGCTCGGGATCGTCGAGGTGCGCCCGGCGTTCTCGCGTTGCCCGGAGAAGTCGGATGGGTGCAAGTACGTGCAAGAGTAAGTCGACAATACATTTTCATGGATGTATATATGGATGCTTACTTCCCCCCCCCCCCCCCCCCCCCCCCCGC